ACACACACACACACACACACACCCCACCACTACCAATACCACCACCCCGGGCTCCGCCCCCGAGCTCCCCACGGTACCGTCACTTCCGGTCTCCCCCAACTTGCCACCGATGGCCACTTCCGTTTCCCCGATAGTATTTGGGGATCGCTAGGCGGTACTTCCGGCTCCCCTCAGGCCCCCAAGCTTTACTCTTGTGGGGCACCACGAGGAAGTTCGCGGCCCCAAACAGTGAGTTCCTTGGGGCTAGACGGGCCGGGGCCGGCCTGGATGGGAGGGAGCCGAGCACCCCGAGGAGCCGCCACCGCCGTCGCCCGGGGGACCGTACTGCGCCTGCGTGCGTTGCACTACGCATGCGTACACTCTTAGGCACCTCCCCACCCCCCCAACGCTGTTCACTTCTGTGCACGCGCTTGAGCCGTGGGAGGTTGAGGTGGCTACTATAAATGCCTGAAAATAATTACCAGATGAGACTCTATACCTCGAGAGGCTTTGGACAGTTTGTGCCTCTTGGGAGTTTGGGGACTGGGGATTGTTCCTCATTAATCTGTGTTAAAGTCTTGGCCGGCAGAGAATTTGAGGCGGCACTGTGCTGGCCTCCTAAAATTCTGTCTTCTCACTCTGGCCCTCGCAGCTCTACTCTTTCGGCGTCTCCGGAAGTCATCCTTTCTTTAGGCGGTTGGAGGTGGTTCGCGAGCTACCTGGTACCTGGGTGTGCCGTCGCGTCGCTGGGGCTGATCTCGGTGCTGCCCGGTGGGCGTTTGGCGGGGTGTGGGCGCCATGTTCCTTGCCGGCGGTGTGCGGCCGGGAGGATACGCCATGTTCTGGAGCAACTAAGGATTTACTGCTTTTCAGGACTTTCGTCAGAAAGGGCGCCTCCAAGTTTGGGAATTGGGAGCGAATGAAGTCAGACTGGACCGAAGCTCAAGAGTCCAATCCTGGGCTATTGAAAGGGCCACCGCAGGGCTTCCGCTGGCCGGGGTCGACTGGCGGACTGGGCAGTCGCGCCCCGCCCTCGCCCTCGGGCAAAGGCCCTGGCCCCGCGGCGCTGCAACTTCTCCTAGACCCGTGGCTGCGGGACTGCCTGTCCCCGGTGCCCACAGCCTTTCTGGGATTCGTAGTTTCTACCCAGGTCCCAGTACTGTTTCAGTTAAGAGTTCTACTAAACACCTGTTCAGCGAGCACCTTGGTTTGTGCCAGCCAAATTGCTCAGGGTTTTGCGTACTGCCCCATTTAAAAGCCTTTCAACACCTGAGATAGTTATTACATCCATTTTATAGGGAAGTACACTTAGGCGAAAGTAAGTGGCAGAACTGACAAGTCCAGGCCTACCAGACCCCGGGTCAAGCACTTCTACTTTACTGCCCCTATAAATTGTTGTATTTTATATATATTTGCTTTTTATTATTCAAAAAATGGCAAACAGGGGCGCCTGGGTGGCTCAGTCGTTAAGCGTCTGCCTTCGGCTGGGGTCATGATCCCAGGGTCCTGGGATCGAGCCCCGCATCGGGCTCCCTGCTTGGCGGGGAGCCTGCTTCTCCCTCTCCCACTCCCCCTCCCCCTGCTTGTGTTCCCTCTCTCGCTGTGTCTCTCTCTGTCAAAATCTATTTTAAAAAAAATGGCAAACATTACCCCCAAATGTTATAAGGGGCCCTCATATACCCATCACCCAAACTTGGTTCTTTTAACTAAGTCGCAAACCCATAGCCTCACCTCTCAGAAATTTTTTGGCAGTCTGTGGTTTATACATAATCTATGAAGGAAGCCCCATCTCTCATTGCATTAATTGCTCCACCCACTTGGCACTATCCAATGAGTGCCTCTTGACAATTCTTTCCGGACTATTATTTGAGAACCTATAGCCCACTTGAAACTGTAATAAGTGCCTTTACAAACATTAATTATAGTGAATATTTACTTTGGACTTAACCACGTGCAGGCCTTTGCTAAGGGCTTTATGTGCTTTATCTCTTTTAATCCTATGAGACTGATGATTTGATCATTTTACAAGTGAAAAAAAACAGGCATAGAGATTAATAAAATTGTTCAAGATCTAACAAATAGTGGAGTTAGGGTTTGCACTCTGCCTAACACCAGTATCCTCTAACCTTTACTGATACAACCTCTTCCTTCTGGTAATAAATGTTGAGTGAATGAGCTCGTTGTCAGTGAACTTTTCTCAGGGGTGTTCAGATTGTTTCCCTAATTACAAATTTCAGCAAGAAGGCCTCCCATTCACCAGGCCCCAGCGCCTGGGGGCCTGTCCTAAAGAACTTACCAGGCTGTGTACTGCAAGGATTTGTTTTGTTTACACAACTAGTTTTTTTGTTTTTTTTTTTTTTTTTTTTTTACTGCTCTCAAGGCCAGCGACTGTCATTCATTTTTATGTCTCTAGGGCTTAGCTGGGCAAACAGCTGGGACTCACAACAGTTTGCTGGGTGTATGAATGAAAAGAATCAGTTCACCTCTCTTCAGTGCTGTGCAACAGAGCAGATATCCAGCACAGATATGGGTTGAAAGACCACAGGCTTCTACCTAGAGGGCTCAGCTCTCATAATTTCTGAGACCCTGGACATGCCAGGGTATATTATGGAGTGATGGCATCTAGAAGAGGGGGAGGAAGGCCCAAACACTGTAGGTAATCCAGGCTTGGGTTGGAAAACAAGGTTGAAGTTACTCATTAGCAGGTGAAAGGGTCAAGGGTCGAGGCAAGGGGGCTGGAAGCAGAGTGGACTGAATAACTAGCAGGGGGAGAAAGAGCAGTTAAGGCACCAGCCACTTCACGAAGAGCACCAGCTCCCTCCTGCCTGAAGATGGTCCACCAAATATGGGCAGCTCTGCTCTACCTCTGTGGTATTCTCCTTAACGCCATCTACCAGTGCCCTGAGTACAGTCAGCTGACAACTCAGGGAGTGGATGGGAAAGAGGTATGGACTGAGAATGGGAGAAGCTGATGGTGGGGCCTCTGAGGGAGTTGGGTGGGTGGCCTTGGATGACCAGAAGCCACGCTGGGAAAGGAAGGGAAAAAGGGTGTATTAACATAATGAATGCAAGAACAAGTAAAAAAAAAAAAATTTAGTACTGTGGCCATCAATGCGGAGACATGGTAGAATTGGGAGGTGGGTGGTTACTCAGGTTGATTGAGGGGGCTACAAAGGAAAAGTCGCTTAATGACTTCCTGTCATAACCCAACCCTTCATTGGAAAAAAGCAGCTGCCACTCCACTGCTAAGTCCTGCCATCTTAAGAGTGGTGATGAAGAGGTTGAATGGACCCTGTAGTGGGGACCCACCCTCTTCTGATCCTCTCGTTCTCTGCAGTTCCCAGAGCCACACCTGGGCAGGTGGTACTTTATCGCAGGGGCAGCTCCCACCAAGGAGGAGTTGGTGACTTTTGACCCTGTGGACAACATTGTCTTCAACATGGCTACAGGCTCTGCGCCCATGAAGCTCCAGCTTCGTGCTACCATCCGCATGTGAGTGGTGAGGAGGCAGAGGCACCAGGAGGTGCAGTCTCTGCCCAAAATATGAGCACCCACCCACAAAGAGCTAGGCTCTTTGGGATATCCACTATTTTTGGCCCACTGAGTTCAACAGTTCTATTAGTTTCCCTCTGAAGAGAGATGGGCCTAACCACCTGTCCCTTGGTAGCCTGAAACCCAAGGGGACCCAGGCTTCAAAGAGAAATAAGATGGAATAGAGGCTGGTACTGTGTGGCTGGGGTGTCACTCAGTCTTTCGTCCTTGCCACCACTTCTGTAGGAAAAATGGGCTCTGTGTGCCCCGGAAATGGATCTACCACCTGACTGAGGGGAGCACAGATCTCAGAACTGAAGGTAGGTTCTCTCCAGCCCTCACCCTCCCCAAGTCCCCTGGGCTTGCTTGGTTTTGCATCTCTGTCCTCACACACTCTCCCCCGCAAATACCTGCCCCAACAGGCCGCCCTGACATGAAGACCAAGCTCTTCTCCAGCTCATGCCCAGGTGGAATCATGCTGAAAGAGTCAGGCCAGGGTTACCAGCGCTTCCTCCTCTACAGTGAGTGGGGATGCCAGGCAGGAAGGGTTGGAGAGAAACAACAGAAGAGCAGGAGAGCCTCTCACCCTGGGCCCTATGATATCATCCCAGGAAGGGCTGGGTGCTGCTTCCATGAGGTCCTCACCAGGGAGGTACTGAGAAACTGGGACTTTGATGGGCCTGGCCCTGCCCTGCTCTTCCAGATCGCTCACCACACCCTCCTGAGAAGTGCGTGGAGGAATTCCAGTCCCTGACCTCCTGCCTGGATTTCAAGGCCTTCTTACGGACTCCCAGGAATCAAGGTGAGGGGGTAAAGTCCCACAAAAGAGGACTAGGACTCACCAAGTCTTCTGCAGGTGCCGGCTGAAAGGGACTCAAGTGATGGCACTGGAGGGCATGGTCAAAGGCTGACATCATTAGAGTGGCTGTGCTGACACCTCCATTTGTGTCATAGGCTGTGATGGCACCAGAAGGATGTGGCCAAGAGGTGTGGTGTCACCTGAGGGAGCCAGGATGGGCTCTGGGCTACTCAAAAGAGAGGTTTCTTGAGTTTGCAGTGGATAAAAGGGGCAGGGGTTTAGACACATAGGGAAAAGGGCCTCAGGGACCCCTTCTTTGATGCGAGGAAAAGCGGGAATGCATTCTCCTCCACCCCATTACCACCAACCTTGCTTTTCTCCCTGGAGTTCCTTCCTTTCCATCCTCTTCTCTTCTCCCTCCTCCCACCAGAGGCCTGCGAGCTGTCCAGTAACTGACCTGTGGCTTCATCTGTGCCCCAGATGGATATGGTGGGAGCTGCAATTGTGCTGGGGGAAGGAGAAGCTGGAGACTCCCAACTCCAAGAGTAATAAAGATGATTTTTCAATCCTCATCTCATTTTCGGTTTGTCTCCAGACATCAATCCCCCCACCTCCATTTCAGTACTCCCCCTGGACCTTCTACCACCTAAATCCCCAGCTGGACGGCGTCAGGAAGGACACTGAGTGGTGGTAACTCTCTTTGTAGTGGTATATTTAGGATTTGGTGTGACACAGTTGTTTATTGCTGAGTGTGCAAACCCCTAACCCCAGAGTGGGGACTCCAAGCTCCAGTGCTTCCCCATACTTCCTGTCTGAGCTGCCAACCCCTCTGAACTGGCCCTCCTGCCAATACTGCCTGCACCATCCCCACTCCCCCTGGCTCCTGGGAACACCCAGATCCTTCCTGCAGGCTCCCTGTCACCATCGGCTCCTATCCACACCCCTTAATCCACCCACCTCACAGCTCCATTCTTCCCTAGGTAGCTCAGATCCTAGGATCCAAGGGATTCCTTGGGTCTCCAACCACCCTCTTACCCTAGTTAGAGGCCTGTCTGTCCTGCCTCTGGTCTCCTCCAACCCTGGGTAGTTTTGAAAGGTAAAGAGGACTCTTTAGTCTTTATTTTTCACCACCACGCTTATTTTTTTTTTCTTTTAAAAAGTAAAGGTGGAGAGAAAAAACTGGAAGTGGGAGAAATGTAAAAGCAAAAAGTAAGAACAGCTGGTGAATTCAAGGGCGATATCCCCATAGTCCATAAACGGATACCCTAAACAGCTCTACTCTCTCCTGTGTATGAAGGGGGGCCATGCCCTCATACTCTGGGGTTTCTTCCCCATCCCTGAGGTCCCTGTGCTTACAATCTGGGTCATGGCCCCCACTCTCCTCCTACAGGCCACACTATCTTCACTCTTGCTCCCACCCCACTCAGGATGGGGGCACTAGGTCACACTCTATCTTGCAGTCACAGCCCCTTTCCTGGGTCTCCTCTCTATTCCTCACCCTCCCTCTCCAACTTCTCATCCTCCAAGTCAGTGGCTTCCTCCTCCCCACTGGGCTCCCGGAGGCTGACAGCTAGCACCAGGGCCTGCAGGAGACCAAAGAGGCAGGCAAAGTGCAGGGGGTGAGCAGTAAGTAGGCTCAACACAGCATGGAGCCCATGCAGGGCAGCCAGGAAGGACAGTAGCCCATGCAGCCAGAGGCCCAGCGGTCCGCGCAGGCCCAATGCATCCAAAGCTGCCCTCAGAGGCCGTGAGCACAGCCCCAGCAGGGCTGAGGCCAGCAGCTCCAGCAGGTGCAGAGTCAGGTTGGTTGAGATCTGCAGACACTCCTCTGGGCCCCCCAGGTACTGCAAGGGAGCCCCTGCTCCCGCACCTGGATCCCCCCGCAGCCAGCCCAGCAGCTTCTGACGCCGCCCTGGCTTCTCCACTGGGGCTTCTGGCCCAGGGGGGCTCAGTTCCCCTTCAGGCGACACTCCAGGTCTGGTGCCACTTGAGCCCACAGGATCCCGGCCCCGTTTGGGAACGGTCCCTCCAGTCTCCAGTCTCCCAGGCTCTTGAGTGTTAGAGACAGTCTTGTCCCACTTGAAGGAATCCATTCTGTTGCTTCCCATTTGCTCATCTCGGGACTCCCTACTTGATTCTGGAGCAGCCTCAGAGCTCCTCCGTGCCCCTGGGTCCTTGGTCTTGGGAGGCCCCACATCTCCCATGGTTTCTGGGGCACTATCCCAGTCACTCCCTGAATTCTCAGAGGAGCTGTCCACTCGTCTGAGTTCTGGGGTAGGCAGGTCAGGCTTCATTGGTTTCCGGCGGCCCCAAGGGCGAGGTAGCCAGCCACCAAGCCGTCGCAGGAACATGGTTGGGATGTGTCGTGAGCCCCCCCAATTCTGGGGCTGCTTCCTGGAACTGCTTCGATTCTCGGGTTTGGGGGCTGAGTGTCTTCTCAGAAGCCAGAGTCCATTCAAGCTCAGAAGAACTGTTACCTGTTTCGTGAGTCCTACTCTGAATTCAGAAGTGGCTCCCCCACTTCCCTGGATGTCCTGCAGCCTCAAGTGTGGCAAGTGGCTTGTTTCCTTTTCAGTTTTGAGGCAAAGAAGGGAGGCACATCCAAATTCATTCACCACCACCACCACCACCACCACCACCACTATCACCACCACCACCCCAAACACAAGATTCACAAGGACAAGAATCCCCAAGACCTGACAAGGCCTGGGTCACGGTGTCCTCCCTAGGTTTCTGGAATTTCCTTTTCTGCAGGCAGCACCCCAAGTTTCACTCACCAAGGCCACGCCCCAAGGTGCCCCAGAAACTGGAGAGGCGGTGCTCCAAGAAGGAAGGAAGGAAGGTGGCCCTGGGTCTCAGGTGCTCCCAATCTGGAGAGTCCTGAACTGCTGACCTAAGGGAGCTCAAGAACAGGCAGTCTCTTATTGGGGGCTAGGAGAGAGGTGTTCAGCAAACTCCAGCCAGCAGCGTTCTCCTCTCGATTTAGAGAGCTATGAATCCTACAGAGCGGCCCGACCGGTGCGTGCCCCGAGTACGCAGCTGAGACGCGGTCTCCGCAAGGTCAGGCCAGAGATGTCCTGGGAGATCCTCGTCGCAAGGCCAAGCGCGGGCCTGCCTGCGGACCCAGGCATCCGGGCGCTGTGCGCTGCGACCCCTCCCGGGCCCGGCGTCGGGGCCGCGGCCTCAACAGGCCGCCTGGAGCCGCAAAGCCCGGAAGCTGCTGCACCGGGCCCGGAGGGACAGACGGGGGCGGAGCCCGCAGTTCGCGGGGCGGACCCTGCGGATCCACCGCCCCCCGCGCCCCCGCGCCATTAGTACGCGCCACTCCGCAGGGCGCCAGCTGAGATCTGGCAGGGCCGGGACAGGAGTATAAACCTAGCCATCCATCTTCGTCGCCCACGGGTCCCCGGGCACTAGTGCTCCCCTAAACTCCTCCGCTCCCTTTAGCCTCCTGTCCTTTGGTTCTTCCCTGCACCCCACCCCCACCCCCTCCTTTTCATGTCCATGACTTCGTGAAAGGCTTTTCCGGAAAAGCAAGCTGCTTCTCTGGGACTTGTGCTGATCTTTCCTGCCCCTCCATGCAGATTTTACTTCCTGGGTCTGACAACAGTGAGCTCTTCTTAGGCTCAGAGCACCTGGTATGAGCGGCAGAAGGGAAGGGGAGACAAGTGTCGACAAATAGAATGTGCTTCCTGCCCTCAGTCGTTTTCAGGTAGTAAAATGAAGAACCTTGACTTAAAGGTTACATTTGGGAGGCCAAAATGTACACTGGGAGGTTCTGGCTCTAGTTCAGCCAACATCATGGTAGAGGCTGGATATTCTTAGGCCCTCCCAGCCCATTGGCCTCTTCCTGCAAGACCCTACCCTACTCTCATTACCCCCATGAGCTTTCCCAGGCTTCCCCGATCACCATGCGTTGTGTATTTGATCACGTTCGTAGCTGCCTTCTCTAGCTGTGAGCAATTAGGTTAGTAATATGTTTTACTCCCCTTCTTAGCATATAGTGTATGATCTTGTTTAAAATCAGTAATTGAAAAAAAATAAAGTGATTGAATTGGCTGCAGTGGTCAGGGAACGCTTCCCGGGGTAGGTGAGATTGGCATAGCGCTTGGGCAATTCCTGGTTCAGGGGACTGAAAGAATAGGTGGAGCGTTCCAGGCAGGGGCTAGGACCTGGAAATGAACAAGACTGGCAGGGAGGTGACCCTATCATGCCACCAGGAAGGGCTACCCCTTCTGGCTCAGGTGGGACTTGCATGTGGCCGCCAGACTTGTTTGGCTTTCCTACAGTAGTTTCCAAAAAAGTGAATAAACACAAAAGAGGAAGAAGTTTGATTTATTTTTCAGCTCTCAGCTCCCCTCTCCCAAAGACAGAGCCCACTGACTAAAATCTGAGGATCTGGGACCTGGACAGACCCCAGGAAGTAAAAGCCAGAGTGCCTAGGTCCAAGTTCAGACTTCAGCAACAGACCAGGATCAGACCTTACCAAGGTCAGAACTCAAGGTTCATGTATGTCCTCAGATCCCGCTCCCAGGCCCTGTCCTTCTCCTCCTGCCTTCTCTCCTCCCTCCGGCTCAGTGTGGTCACCCGAGGGGCTCTCTCCCTCCCAGCCACTGCGCGAGTATCTCGAGCCAGGAAGTGTGTGACTCGGGGTTGGGGCACTGATCTGTAGCCTAATCCTTCCTGGTCCCTCTTGAGGACAGTGGGGATGGGGTTGGTGCGGCCTTCACCCCGAGGTCCCAGCCCCATTCCAGGCTCCCAGCCTCCCCTCAGCAGCAACTTGAAGCCTGGGCTGGAGGTGGGAACCCCAAGAGGCAGGTTGGGGGACCTGAGATCACGGGGCAGTGACAGCAGGTGAGCAGTGGACGTGTAATGGTTAGAGTCTTGAAAGTGGGCATTGCAGGTCTCACAGTACCGGAGGGAGGGGGATTGAGACCTGCAGAGGAAAAAAGAGAAGAGTTCAGGGCAGGGAAGAGTTGAGGCCTCACAGGGGGGTGGCAAGGTAGGAAGTCCTTCCAGTCTTTTCTGCTAAAAAACAAATTGCCTTCCAAACCACTTAGCAATGAGGGACACAGAGGGGAACAGTTGGGGGAAGAAATGGCCACCAGGCCTCACAAGCTCTTGGGCAAAGCTTAACAGTGACTACGATTAATATGCACACAGTGCTTATTATATGGTAAGCATCATTCTAGCACTTTACGTATATTGACCCATTAAATCCTAACAACCCTTTAACAAAGGTGCTCTTATACCCCCATTTCTCAGATAAGGAAAATGAGGCACATAAAAATTAGGTTCTTGCCCAAGTAGGTAGAATTAGGATTTAAACCCAGGGAGCTCATGTTTATTATCACTCTATTACACTGCCTTATCAACCTATATTGGGGGATCAGGGAGAGAAGCTTTAGCTTTGTTCTGGAGCCTCTGGTGTGGAGTGGCTAGGAAGGGTAGAACACATTGAAAGATGGGCATGGGCTAAGGCTTCCCCTCACCGGTTCTCAGGACTCCTCATCTCTCCATGGCTCTCTCTGACCATGCGCGCCACCTCAGGGAAACCTGCTTCTTCGGCCAGCTGAGCAGCATCCTTGCCACCCAGCTCACAGACGCCCACCCAGGCAGCTCCACGGCCCAGGAGATAACGCACAGCAGCTCCCTGGCCTGCTCGAGCAGCACACATCAGGGGGGTCCACCAGAAGGCATCCCGAGCGTTGATATTGCCTCCGGCTCCCCCTGCCTCACGGGGATCCAACAGCCTTCTTAGTTCTGCCAGGTCACCCTCCTGAGCTGCCCTCAGTATCCACTGGGTCATCTTGTCCTCTGCCTCAAGGGATCTCCTTTGTCCATGTCCTCCCGAGGTTCCTGAAGCAGCTTCCCTCATCATTCTTCTCTTCTTCCTCTTTCTCTTACTGGCAGGTTCAGGCTGAGGTCTCTGGGATTCCGGGACACTGCTCTCATCTGAAATCAGGGCCTCATAGAAAGCCCGGGCTGCAGCCCCATCCAAGGTGGGCTCCAGCTCTTCAGGCTGTGACTGCTGCTGCCCGTCTTTCCAGAGGTCGCTGGGGTTGGTGGCTGGGGTGAAGGTGATGAGGAACGGCCTGGACATGGCTTTTGGGAGAACTGAAAAAGATGAGACTAGATAAAGGGAGTATAAGACAAGCAAGTCAATCCCTTGGTGGCTCTGCCACTGACCAGAGCCTCCCCCAGAGACCTGCTGGGAGGAAAAGTGGCCATAAAGTCAAACGCTCCCGTTCCCTAAGTGACCCCACAACCTAGGACTCAGCAGGGCCTTCAGACCATAGGTCATGTGGAAAAACAGGGAACCCTACAATAACAGCCCATACCATTTAGTAAAGGTTAATTTAACAAACAAGATTCAATGAGAGTTGCCCAGAGGTCCTGCGTTCTGCCCCCCATCCCATCCTCACCAATAATAAAATAGCTTCTCTCTGAAACTTGATCACCAGAAAAAACGTACCATGAAGAAAACAATCAGCCTGGCCCTTTAAATCTTCCTTGATCCTATGTCGGGGGTCTCGTCTTCCCAAAGAAAAACAGACTTTAACGCTTCTACAGAAGTAAGCAGATTTGGGGGAGAGGCTCCAGTCTCCGTGACTTTGTGGTCTCCGAACGGCGAAACGGGGCTACTCTAAGCAAAGGAGCTGACGATCAAATAGCCACACGACCAGAACACGCACGCGTGACTGTAAAAAACAACAACACAAAACATAACTTGAGGGCTCAGGCATGTGCGAAGCGCCAGGTTTAGCTTCCCCGCCCCGGGACCTTGCCAATAGCATCCGCTCAAAATGCCACGTGCCTAGGTAGCGCGAGGACAGAGGATCTGTCGGTTAGGGTCCTACTTTTGCATAACGCCCCCACAATGCCCTTCGCCTCCCCGAACGTGGTCCCGCTCCGAGCTCATTTTTTGGAGCTGCGAAACCACTCTGTGAGTTAAGAAAGGCTCTGAGGAGGCGGAAGGAAACCTGTGGAATGCCCCGAAGCTGTGAAATGAAATAACGTCACGCTTCCCCTCACCATTATTCTGACCAGGGTTCGAAGGTCATACTTAGTGCCTGCAGGAGAAAGCCCCATTCAAGCCCTAAGAGAAAATGGAGAAGTGCAAGGGGACGAGCAGCAGAATGGCTGGCGCCACCTCAGGTTAGCGCACGGGGCCGTCCCGGCTCTCACACCGCTCACCACAGCCCATCCCACCCTTCCCACGTCCCTCAGCAAGGAGCCCGGCCTCACCTCCCGCCTGAGGAGACCACACCCCGGGGTGAAACACGGGCCCCGACGGGGCCTCCAGTGGCGGGCCTGACTCGGGTAAGAGGCTCAACAGGCAATGAGGACCCGGTGGGTTAGACGGGGATGAGGTCAATATCCTGGGCATCAGGCGAGCGCCTGAAGCCGAGCCTTGCTGCCTGAGGGGAGCTATAAGAAACCAGCGGCCAGCCTCGTTCCTTTACCCGCCCCTGTCGGCCCCTCAGTCGCGGAATCCTACGACTCTATTTCCCATACTCCCTGGCCCAGAACGGGGTACTGCGCTTCCGCTTCCGGTGGCACCCCGCTGCGCCCCGCCCCCCGAGTGTCTTGCTCATGGGCCTCGCGACGCCAGGGTTGTTCGTGAGTCGTCCTGGGATTCGTAGTTCGCCTTTCCCTCGTTTCGCCAGTTTCTCTTTACCGGGGACTCCATTTCCCGGCGTTCACTGCGGCGCTCGACCCTTGGCGTTTGCGCGTTGCCCTCCCCCCACCCTCCCCAATTTCCACTCCCCCCCCACCCGACTTCGCCTGCCGCGGTCGGGTCCGCGGCCTGCGCTGTAGCCGTCGCGGTTCCTTGGAAGCAGCGACTCCCCTCCCCCACCCTGTTCCCGGTCCCCGTCCAGCCGGTGAGTCTGAGTTCGTCGCCGCGCCGAGTCCCCTGTCCTTAGGCGCGGCACATGGGGTCTCCGCGCGTTGATGTGGGGGTGGGGAAGGAAGTGACCCGGTCCGGCACTGGGGGAGGGAGGGATGGCCTGAGGGCCGGAGGCGGGATGTGGGGACTCCTGTGAAAGGGCCCTCACGGCCACCCGCAGGCCGTGAGAGAAAAAGGCCCAGCTTTTGCTTGGAAAGGATAAACTTCGAAACCTTTGGGAAAGGCGCCGGGGACATGCAGAGACCTGCGGGGTAGGGATCTCGAGCCGAGGGCCCTGCCGGAGTTGACATGAAGAGGAAGGGGGCAGGTCTTCGGGAGCGTTAGGGGTGTGGGTAAGACTGGTGGGTCAAGACCTGTGGGTTTCTCGAAAGTGGTGGGACTCCATAGAGAATCTCTAATCTCAGAAAAGGGGCCAAGGTGTGAATAACAGGAACTGGAGAGGGGTGCTCCAGAGTCTAGGGTCTTTTAAGGAAAGGTGACCCCAAACTCTTCCATGGTTGGAGAGCAAAGTGTGGGAGGAGGGAGGATACCAGAGCCCGGGTGGGAGAGCTTGGGCTTTACTTACACTCTATTTTTCTCCAGCTGACGTGAAGATGAGCAGCTCAGAGGAGGTGTCCTGGATTTCCTGGTTCTGTGGGCTCCGTGGCAATGAATTCTTCTGTGAAGTGAGTTCTCAATCTCCCAGTCATCTCCTCACAAAGTTTGGCTATATATTTTCCCACATATTTAGCTTCCACACACTTCTCTTACAGGCTGCCATAGAAACTTTTTCCTGTCAAGGAAGAGTCCCTTGAGTAACCCCCCTCACTAACTTGTGAAGTGGCAAGACTGCCCAAGTCCCAAGCCTGTTATTCTCCAGCAATGTAACATTGGACAAGTCAACTTTATTATTATTGTTATTATTGTTATTATTAGACTGATACTGGTAGTCCATTTTTTGGGAGCCTGTTAGAATTAGAATGCTGTTTGTGAAAATGTCTTGTAATGTGCAAAGTTGTGTGCTGGTAATACAAAGGATTGTAACTGCCAACAGGACCCAAGCTGTTCAGTCTCCACTTTTTTTTTTTAAGATTTTATTTATTTGTTTGACAGAGAGAGGGAACACAAGTAGGGGGAGTGGGAGAAGGAGAAGCAGGTTTCCAGCTGAGCAGGGAGCCCGATGCAGGTCTCGATCCCAGGACCCTGGGTTCATGATCTGAGCTGAAGGCAGCCAGTTAATGACTGAGCCACCCAGGCGCCCCCAGTCTCCACTTTCCTTAGAGATCCAGCTGCCCCCAAGGAGAGGACAAAACTGACTTGTAGAGATGGGGGGCAGGAGTAGGAACAGGGATTTTTGAAAGGAATGTTTCTTTAAGGAGGCGATCGTTGTAGCTGTTTAAAAGAAAAGCCAAAGCTTTTATGGGAAGGCAGTGTATGTGAACTGGGGAGAGAGCCTCAAGTAGTTCTGCTGAGTTGGAATTGGGGAATGAGGGGAAACAGAAGCAGTTGTGTTGAGAATAAGGCATCAATTAGAGCAATGTGCCTAGGTCAAAGCTGAGGATTCTGCTCTGGGTTTCTTCTTTACTTCCACATCTTGACAGGTGGATGAAGACTACATCCAGGACAAATTCAATCTCACTGGACTCAATGAGCAGGTTCCTCACTATCGACAAGCTCTAGACATGATCTTGGACCTCGAGCCTGGTGAGGCACCCTCAGGGTTGTTCTGTGTGTGAATGTTTTTTTTTTTTTTTCTTTTCAATTTCTTGTTTATATCTTGCGTTTTTTTTTTTTTTTTTAAGATTTTATCCATTTGACAGAGACCCAGCGAGGGAGGGAACACAAGCAGGGGGAATGGGAGAGGGAGAAGCAGGCTTCCCGCCGAGTGGGGAGCCCAGTGCGGGGCCCGATCCCAGAACCCCGGGATCATGACCTGAGCCGAAGGCAGACGCTTACCGACTGAGCCACCCAGGCGCCCCTTGTTTATCTGCTTCTTGAATTTCTAAATTTTCTTTTGGTTCTCTGACTCCTTTTATCCAAAGTCCTGTCCTTCATTTTGGTCCCCCATCTGACTTTTGCCTGGGTTTGTGACTTACACCACCTGTTCCCGCACTCTGATCCTGTAATTTGGTTCTATCCCCTAATGCTAGTTTCCCCCTGGGTCTCATTTCCTGTTTCTTTGTTTTGCCTTGCACCTTTTAGTCTAGAGTTTCATTTTCTGCATTCATTTATTCATTGAGGAGAGAGTTGAGAGGGAGAGAAAAAAGTAAAGGCTAAAGAGGTGTAGAGAGAAGGCAGAGATGCCTTGGGTTGGTGGAAGGGCCAGAGGCCCAGGTTTCTGGGTCAGATGCCCAGGTGATGGGTGGCTCAAAGATGGGTGCCAGGCAAACTGTAGCCAGCAGCTCCTGGAGGTGGGTGGGACAGCTAAGAAAGCTGTAAGAGAAATGATGTAAGAGCATTTGGCTGGGGCCATGTTTCAGATGAAGAGCTGGAAGACAACCCCAACCAGAGCGACCTGATTGAGCAGGCAGCCGAGATGCTTTATGGATTGATCCACGCCCGCTATATCCTCACCAACCGTGGCATCGCCCAGATGGTGAGGCCTCTCTGCTCCCCCTTGACTCCTCTGAGGCAGTAAGGGAAACAGAGGTTCCTGCAGTGAGGAGTCACATGTTTTCAACCTTGTCACGGAATATGGCTGAGAAGAGGGGAAGAACCCCAGATACGGGGCCTGGGAATTAAATCCTAATTGGGGTTGTGCTGACTGAGGTGTTTACAGGGAGGGAGACGTGACCTTGGACAGGAAGTTGTTGCAGTCTGCCTCTTCCTCAGGGAACAAACAGCAAATGGCTCTGATGGTCTGTAATCTGCCTAACTGGGGGAAAGGAAGCAGGGGAGTATGAGGGCCCATCTGGGCCAGCTTGAAGGGTTCTCTGGACAGAAAGGCAGGAGTGGAGGACAGAGCAATGTGGGTTGGGCTGACGAAGGGATTGCCCCTTCTCTTATACCTACACACCAACTCCTTTCATTTTATTCACCTCAGTTGGAAAAGTACCAGCAGGGAGACTTTGGCTACTGTCCCCGTGTGTACTGTGAGAACCAGCCAATGCTTCCCATCGGTGAGTGTTGGAGAAGGGAAAGGAGGCCACGTCAGATGGCCGGCCCTCCTGGGAAGGAGTTGGGGCTCAGCAAGTCTGGGCCTGAGTCTGGGAGGGAGGTGGGGCAGGCTTGGGGGTGCCCGGCCTGCTGAGTCTGGCTGTCTCCCAGGCCTTTCGGACATCCCAGGTGAGGCCATGGTGAAGCTCTACTGCCCCAAGTGCATGGACGTGTACACACCCAAGTCATCGAGGCACCATCACACGGACGGCGCCTACTTCGGCACCGGTTTCCCTCACATGCTCTTCATGGTGCACCCCGAGTACCGGCCCAAGCGGCCCGCCAACCAGTTTGTGCCCAGGTGGGGAGCAGGGATAGAGTCACCCAGGGTCAAAGGAAAGGTTTGGGATTCCCCAGAGAGAAGGGAGGACAGGGCATGGTCCTTTCTTGAGGTTTGCTTCTCCCAGAGCAAGTAACCTTGGGGAAGGTATTTGCCTCCCTGTGCCTCAGTTCGCTTATCCATGAAATGGGGATGATAGTACCTGACCAATAAGTTATACTCAAATAGTGAGTTCCTTTGAAAAACATTTGGCACCTGAAGTACCCTTTAAATGGTAGCTGTCATCATCTCGGTTGTTCAGCCGTTTGCCAGGAAAAAGTGTGGTTTCTCTTCCTGGAACATCATGTTTACCGGGAAGAATAGTTTGATACTATATTGAAACAAGTGTTCGTTCGCATACATACACACAAATATACAATCACATACCTACGTGTGTGTGTGTGTGTATGTCTGTGTGTGTGTTGACATGTAGTCTACAATTTTGAGTTTTAATGGCTATTTAAGGTACATTTCCCAATATTCTGGAGGGATTCCGTTTGGGAGCCACTGTCCTTAAGCACTGAGCAGACTCATGGAGAAGCTGGGGTGGGGAGGTGGAAACTCAGGCCACTGGCAGGGCCAGGGTGGGGCTCACCGTGCTGCCTCTCTGACCTCTGCCCCCGCCCAGGCTCTACGGTTTCAAGATCCATCCGATGGCCTACCAGCTGCAGCTCCAAGCCGCCAGCAACTTCAAGAGCCCAGTCAAGACGATTCGCTGATTCCCCATCCCACTTGTCCCTCAGTCTTTGGCACCTCCGATCCTCTGCTGCCACCCTTTCAGGAACCCTCTATGGTTTTTAGTTTAAATTAAAGGAGTCATTATTGTGGTGGGAATATGAAATAAAGTGGAAGAAAAGGCCATGAGCTGGTCTGCTGGTGCTTGGGGTTGGGGGACGGGAGGGTGCTGGTCTGCTTGATTCCAGGGGCCCTCATGGCCCAGCCCACCCTCCTCAAGTTGAAAACCAGCACAGTGGTGCCCAATGGATTCGGGTGAGGTTTTTAGCAGTAGAGCAGAATTTCTAGTATGTGCAAGGCCACAAGGAAAAGACCCAGGGAAAATCAGATTTCAAAGTCTAGAGACATTTGTTCTTTTTTGGCCACCTAAGGCTGTGTATTTATACCGTAAGGAGTATAATCAACAACAACATCTTCCAGTTTTGATTTTACAGGGCAAGTGGTCCTGAAATAAACGGAACTGTTAAGGGGTGGAGAGAGGGACAAGGTTCAGAATTGCTGCCGGGTGGTGTCTGTGCGCCCCCTGCTGGGGGAGCTAAGACATGCTCATCTCAGAAGGCTGGGGCCCCAGGGTCCCTGGCCAAATTTTTTACCCAGCACAATAGGGACAGTTCTATTGTGTGGAGAGGACAGCATTTGGTACCAGAGACAGAAGCTGATCCATGGACCCTTGAGGTGGGGGAATAGATCTTTTCAGGGCACGAGGGACAAAGATAGGCAGCTGGATAAAGGCCCAGGTGTTGTCTGGGCCATTGCTCCCACGTACAGGAACCCGACCTTGTGGGTGAGGACACGCCATCCTCCAGCCAAGTTAATAACTTCCTCCCCCAGCCAAGAAATATAGCTCTGCGTCTACAGCTCCTGCTCAAACTGTCAAAACCACCCTGCAGCTCAGGATCAAGGAGCATGGTCACAGGAAAGTGGGGTTTCGGGATACCCCCCAGGGACTGCCCTTCTCCCCAGAATTCCATCATGAAGGCCAATATGCTTGTAGGTGTGCTGGTCATGGTGGGCTTCGCAGTGGGAAAAGGTAAGTGGGGCCCAGGGGCAAGGAGCGAGAAGTGACTGAGTCCTGGAAGGGTGTGGGGCTGTAGCCCTGGTTCACGGGCTCCCTGCAAGGCAGAGAACTTGGAATGAGCCAACACTCCCATCCCTCCTGTCTTCTGCTTCCCCAGCTCCCGTTCCTGAAGTCCGGACCTGCCACCTCTGCCTCTTAGAAGACCCTTCTATGGGGTGCATTTCAGGCTCAGAGAAGTGCACCATCAGCACCCCATCGCCATGTATGGTGATCACCATCTATTATGGTGAGTCAAGCCCCAGGAAGGGGCTGCTGGTGGGATAGCCCATGGCTTGGTCTCCTTTCCTCTCAGACGAGGGCTGCTTAGGGCCTGGGGTGCAAGAGGAAGACAGCAGGATCCTGGAAGGAGGAGTCGAGGGTTCTGGGGGATCCACTGAGCCAGTTTTTCTGGCCCTTTCTGAAGGAGTCTAGGTTGGAAGTCAGGTCTGGGTGAGGGATGGGGAGAGTGTAGGGTAAGGATAAGAGGGTTGGGGACTATGGGAGGCAGCGGGGGTTATTAGCTGTTCCCTCTTCTCCAGATACCAAGATTCGTTTCTTCATCCGAGGCTGTGGACAGTATAATTCTTATCGCTGCCAAGAAAAACGCAATACCTACTTCTCGGAGTACTGGTACCAGGCCCAGTGCTGCCAGTACGATTACTGCAACTCCTGGTCCAGTCCCCAGCTCCACAGCTCCCCACCTGATCCCCCAGCTGGGGCCTGGGCCTTGCCCCTGTCCGAGTCCCAGATCCAGTGGTTCTACCAGGCTCTGAACCTCTCACTGCCCATCCGCAGCTTCCATGCTGGGAAAGAGCCCAAAGGGTTGGACGCCCCGGCCATCCTGCCCCTGAACCTGAACTTGTCCATTGCTGACCTGCGTCGCATATATTTGTTCCTCAATAGCTCGGGACTTCTGGTTCTTCCCTGGGTTGGGCCCTGATGCCTTAGCCTTCCTGGATTTCACTGCATTCCATCATCTCTCCCCTAACACCACAGGCCCCTGCGCTGCCCTCCTAAAACACCCACATTCTCTGCTCTGTGATTTCTCTGGCCTCCCTTCCACTGTACTTCTAGCATGACTATGGCTTTGGTGTCTTTTCTTTCCCAGAAACTGGTGGTGCTGGACCTCGTAGAAAATGAGTTTAGAGTCTGCCTATGCCGGCCTGGGGAAGGCACAGTGGCTTCCTCGTGCCCTTTCCTGTCATCGGAGTCTGTCATTCCCCTCATCTTTCCAGTCCCCTGTCAATCTGGTCACTGCTGCCTCCGTTCAGATCTAGTTGTAGATCACATCCTGTGCCCATCTTAAGACCCAGACTGAACTTACAGCAAGAAGAATGAAGGGGAGACTTGCGTGCACATTTTCTGACTAGCACTGTGCTGTCCCTGCTTCACTCCCTCCACCCCCACCCCTGCCCTGGTCGCCTGCTTCTCTCCTCTCCCATTGCAGTCCCTGGCCTCCCCAGCCTCACTTCCTATCACTGAGTCCTGACACCCACTTCAGTAGATGCCAGGGGAGGGGAGAGGAGAGGCGAGGGTCTGGCCTGCTCTGCACATCTCCTGCTTGCTCTCCACAACCTCCACAATAAATGGACTGGGCTAAGTCTGTGTCACACTGTTTATGGGGTCAGGCTCAAGTGTGGGCAAGTATAGACCAGGGAAAGAAGGTTGATTGGGCATGGGGATCAAACCTTCTACAGCCTGGCCCATTCCACTTGGCCTTTGTGGCTTCCTCATGGCTTGTCCCTTAAGAGCCTTTATCCATCCCATCTTCTGCTTGGCTAGAGATCTGTTCAGCTGTGAGGATTATGACTTCTCTTAGCTTTTGACTTACCCCACAGGGGTGCCTGGCTGGTTCAGTCAGTAGAGCATGTGACTCTTGAGCTTGCGGTTGTAAGTTCGAGCCCCACGTTGGGTGTAGAGATTACTTAAAAATAAAATCTTGAACTAAAAAAAAAAAAAAAAAAACGCCCTAGAAAGTTAAAACCCAGGTTACATCAGGGTTTTCCATCTAACAAAGGTGGAAAACTCTCCTTTGAACCAGGAAAACTCGGGAGCAAACCAAAGGGCCCTGGTCTGTATCTCAGAGTTACCTGGTGCTGAGGGATCTGGGTTCTTGCCTGTTGTTAGTTCTTTTTAGGATCCTGGCACCCAGGACCCCTCAGTAGGGAGCTAGGTTGGGGCATGGGGGATGTTCAGAGATACATGGTTGGAGCTGCAGTGGTTCGATCTTTATTTTGATACTTCATTTGAAAAACTACAAGCATACAGAAAGCAATAATGAATATGCATAACTTTCCATACATGCAATAAACACACTGCTCTGGGCTTGGTGTTAGTGAGTACAGCTAGGTGCCTGCCTTTCTGAGTCTTGTAAACCAGTGCTGGGATTGTGAAACCTTTTTCTGAAAAGTAGTGCAACTTTGTGGTTGGGGGACCCAATCCGAGCTCCTCTGCCACTTGGATAAGTTGGTCTCTACCTTACTTTGGTCACCTGTCAAGGAGGAATAGTACTTCATGGGATCGAAAGAGTGCATGTGTGTGTGTGCACAGGTGAAAATTAGAGCCTTCAAAATAGACACACGCCTTAGGGACAGAGATACAGATTGTGGTGTTTGTGTATGCATGTACTTATTATTACTACTATTTTTTAAAAATTTTAAAAGATTTTATTTGAGGGAGGAGGGGGGAGAGGGAGAAGCAGACCCCCAGCTGAGCAGGGAGCCTGGTGTGGGGCTTGATCCCAGGACCCCGGGATCATGACCTGAGCCGAAGGCAGACGCTTAACCAACTGAGCCACCAAGTGCCTCTATTACTACTTTTAAAGTAATCTCTATCCCCAACATGGGGCTCGAACTCATGCCCCCAAGATCAAGAGCAATACGTTGTACCAACTGAGCCAACCAGGTGCCCTTTTGGCCTATTTTTAAACCTGTTTAGCAAAACGTACAGAAGCTTGCATACACCATGACTTGAGTTTTTGTAAACCACACACCTGTGTCACCAGTCCTCAAGTCCGTATAAAGGCCTTTATCAGCACCCAAAGCTGCCTTTGTGCACCCTCCCAGGCACGTCTCCCAACTCAGCAGTAGCCACTGTCCTGAGTTGTAGCTGCTTAGAGGAATTTTGTCTGTGCTTGATAACAAATGGCATCATGCAGCTACATGTGAACTACAATGTGTAGTTTCACTTACACATTTTGCACATATGTTAACTGAGCTCCATGGCCCCTTTAATGGCCTGTGCTCTGGCAGGAAGCACCGATATTAATTTGTAGGTCAGGGAGCAGTTGGAGGTACAAAAATAGGTCCAAACCTTCAGTGTGCACCCCCTCTGTCTGGGCCCACTTTTCTCCATCACCTCTGACTTCAGTGTAAAAGTCCAGGTTTATACAGCTCTAGCAAGTCAAAGTGGAGGACGGTCTCAGAGGCTGAGGAATGCAAGGCCCAAAATTCTGCAGTAACTTCCCACACCATCCTTGAAAAGGGAAGCTGAGCCTGGGGTCAGGCCAGGGCTCCACGAGACCTAGCGGCTCTTCCACAGAGCATCCCACCCCTCAGCCTGGGCCTGGGCCTGGGCCTGGGCCTCTCACAGCTCCGCTCCCACCAGCACCTCTCCCCGCTGTGGACCTCTCCTGCATTTCTCACACAGCCCTGGATTTGACCCCACTGCCAAGGATGCCCCTTGCCCTTCCAGCCTTCCCTGCAGGAGTGCTTTGGTTCCTCTTCATTTTTTTGTGTCTAGAGCTGAATTCAAGACATGGAGTTGGGGCAGAAGCAGAGCTCAGCAGAGCTGGGAGCCCCTCACCTGCCCCCACAGCAGGGCAGTCAGGCAGGAGCTCAGCCTCCACCACTACCAGAAGACACAGACAAGCCATATAGTTTGCACACCAATTTATTTGGGAGTAACAGCTGGGGACTTGGGAGGCCCATGGTGGGAGAAGGGGCAAAGCTGGGCTAAGGAGCAGCCAAGAGGTGGGAGAAGAGAGGAGAAAAGCTGTCACACTGTGAGGACCTGAAGGCAAAATTCAGAGACTTCTGGAGAGGGAGCCTGGGGGAGGGATAGAGTGGGAAAAAGGGGTGTTGAGGGTGTCAAATAAGAGGCAGCTAGGGCTGGGGTCCAGTAACTTGGAGGCTGGGAGGGCTGGTAGAAAGAACTGGAAGTTGTTCTGGCTGTGCCAGCCAGCTGGAAATCAAGAAGATGAAAGGCGACTGGCAGGATTTTATTCTTAAAAGTCTCTGCAGAAATTCTAAGGAATATAGAAGACTCTGTTCTGGGGGTTATTGCAGAACTCCCGGAAGCAGCATCGAGAAAATATCCAGAAGCCAAACACTGGAGAAGAGCGGGTATATGAACAATCACTCATCTGTTCCTTGCGGCGGCAGTCACTCACCATGATGTCAGAACCACTGTCTGGGGAAGGATGGCAGCAACCAGTGATACAGAGATCCCAGGTCCGAGGCACAGCCCGAAGCCCCTCCATCCCCTCAATCCATATGGACTTAGCATCACTGCCCCCACACCCTTCCCTGGTCCCTCAAAAGGCAAAGATTTCTGGAACTGGGCAGGGGAAGGGAATGCCAGGGAGTCACCAGCTATGAATTCTGTGGAAGGTTAATGGGAAAAGAGCCACTCAAAATATAGTGATGGTTGGAGGGGGCTGAGTTTGGTCTTGCTGGGGAAGGGGAACCAGCACTTGGGCCAGGACCATATAAGGAGAAGTTGAGAGAGGCTTCTCTTTGATATGCTTGAGTACTCTGATATTGGACCGTATCTATGTTTAAGAAGTGTAATAAAAAGACTTGAATTTGAATTTGAAGGTAATTTCATGTAGTGGTTGTTTAAGAGCACCATCTCTGTAGTGTTTTAGGAGTATTGTAGTTGTTTAAGAACACACAAACTGTGACTCAGCTTCTAGGAGACTTGGGCAAGGTATTGACCTTTCTGTGCCTCTTTTTCCTCATCTGTAAAATGGGGGGGGTAGTAATAACAATACCTATCTCAGAGAGTTGTAAGTGCTTAGAATAGTGCTGGCACACAATACATGTTTTGCGTTTTATTATTATTTTTTAAGATTTTTATTTATTTAACAGAGATAGAGAGAGAGCACAAGTAGGCAGAGCTGCAGAGAGAGGTAGAGGGAGAGGCAGGCCTCCTGCTGAGCAGGGAGCCCGATGTGGGGCCCGATCCCAGGACCCTGGGATCATGACCTGAGCCGAAGGCAGCTGCCCAACCGACTGAGCCACCCAGGCGCCCCATGTTTTGCATTTTAAAAAGGATAAGGGAGGGGCACCCAGCTGAAAGAAAAAGAAGAAAGAGGAAGGAAGGGAGGGAGGGAGAGAGAGAAAGAAAGAAAAGTGTGAGGGATTGTGTGGAAGAGCAGGCGTGAGGAACAGGGAAATGTAGTCAATTTTCAGCAAATTGAAAATGAGGTGTTGCTCTCCAGAGGGCCATTTGACATGACAGTTTGGCCTAACATTCAAATTCAGGAGGAAGCAGAGCAAATCCTTTGGGAAGAGTAAAGCGGGAAGACAGCTAAGGTCCAAACTTTGGTGAACATGAACCCTTAGGGGTCAAGGAGAATAAGGCAAGACCCAGGGAAGGAGACTGGGAAGAAGCAGTGGATGGGGCAGAGATGTCTGCAGGAACTGTGGCTGACAGGCAGGGAGAAGGCAGCCTGAGGACAGGCTGGGGGGGGGCTGGTGCTCACAAGGGTCCCCCACAAGGCTGGGTGCTGTAAGGAAGGCGGGAGCTGGTCAGCTGCAGGCTGAGGGAACAGAGGCGTGGAAGCGAAGACAGAGAATAGCTCTGAAGGTAAGGAAAGAGACCAGGACGGGAGCAGGAACCCAACGTGGGGTACAGCTGAGACCTACATTTCGGGGACGGGCTAAGCCAAAGATAAGCAGCTTACTGTTCTTTATGAGGAGAGTCATGCAGCTGCTGCCAGGTGGGGCGAGGCAGATGTCTGATCCCAGAAGGCATCCCAACTCCTTGGTCTCCAAGAGGCATCGATAGCAGCGCAGGTATTTGGGGAGCTGAACTGGATGAGGGGGTTCAGGATCAAAATTACCTAGAACACAGACAAACACTGACTCCAAACCCACCTAATTTCCCGGCTGGTCAACCCCCTCCCCACCTCCCCATCTCAGAAAACCATAAGATCACCAATTCTTTTTTTTTTTTTTTTTTTAAATATTTATTGGTAGCCACTTTTTTTTTTTAGGTTTTATTTATTTATTTATTTGAGAGAGAGAATGAGAGAGAGAGAGAGAGAGCATGAGAGGGGGGAGGGTCAGAGGGAGAAGCAGACTCCCTGCCGAGCAGGGAGCCCGATGTGGGACTCGATCCCGGGACTCCAGGATCATGACCTGAGCTGAAGGCAGTCGCCCAACCAACTGAGCCACCCAGGCACCCCAAGATCACCAATTCTTGAAAACCATCGGGCTTAATCCTCTACCAGAGGTCTTGTTAAAATCTCCATTCTCTGCTCTTACACCTCCTGAAATAAGGAACTCATTAAGGAATTCATTCACTCATTCAACATGAATTTGAGGTGCTAACGTGTGCCCAGCACTCTGCAAGCTTCTAAGTTCAAAGGTTAGGCAGGGGCAGCTCATTCCAGCTTTGGGCAGTTCAGTGAGGACAGTTCTTCCTCTGGGACTTGGTTTTACAGTCCCTCACACCTATGGACTCGCTTTTGAATATGCTTTCTTAATCTGTAATGTTCAAGAAGTGAAAACAAGACTGCATCATGACAGGATAGGAAGCGTCTGCCCTTTGTAGACCTCAGGAAGCCCACCACCACATTCTTTGGTGGTCTTTTCACTGGAAAGACTCATATTAAACTCTGTCACCAAAGCCCTCCCCAACTACGAGTATATACACTTCCCTCTTCCTCTGGTCCTAGGCCCAGACCACATGTTAATGAGTCCCCAGACCCAGTGGAGCACTTAGTGTGAGGCAGATACCGAACAAACACTTTGAATACTGCTTCTACACAGGTGGTGTTTTGCACTCAAGTGAGGAGATTATCAGGCTGGACTGAGGCTTGTTCTACTCTGTAGATCTTGGTTCTGTCATTTAGCACGTTCCCGGAACCCTCCCTATTCTGCACTGCCCCAGATTTGAATGGGGTCCCTTCAGTATCTTCATTCAGGTCACTGCTGTTGAGACGGCCCTGGGGTGATAACTAGAAATCTCCCTCAGAGTGAACATCAGTCCATTCCCACCCAGTCCCTAGGCATTATCCCATCCATCCCATCCATCCCATCTCTCCTCCTGCCCGGGTTTACCTGAGCATCCTGGGCAGATGTACCCAGACACCTGGTGTCTGTGGGTTTCTCCAGACCAGGAGACCCTTCTGACCCCTTAGAGCCACTTACCAAACACCAAGCTCATCATGACCAGCGCTATTAAAAGGACCATGTACAGGGCCTGAGGGGTGCTGTGGAGGCCCAGGGGCCCCATACTCCGGCTACCTGCAGGCCCTGCCATAAAATGCATGACTGCCCACCAGCCTCCAGTTGGAGCTTATATTGGCGGAAGAGAAATTGGCCAAGAGGAAGGTAACACCCATTTGGGGTGGAAATCAGTGCCAGGATAGCCAGAGAGACAGAGTGTCCTCAGCCATGACCACTCTAAGGCCTAATATCCTGCCTTGGGGAGAGAACCCTGGCAAGAGGGGAATGAGAGGGAAACTTCCTTTCATATTTAATCTACACAAGTTTCTTCACGGTATCAGGTGTTGGGGATACAACATTGCACAAAATCCCCGCCCTCACAGAGCATTCTAGTCGGGGAGACAACAAGGAATAATGGGGAGCGGTGGTGGGAGAAGACAAGTGCTTCCCGGGAGCGCCTGAGAAGTCGAAGGCACTGACCAAAGGAGCAACAAGATCAGATTTCTGTTTGTTTAAAGACTGCGGAGGCCGGGAAACCAGTTAGGAAGCTATTCCTGAGTCCAGCCACAAGATGGCGGCCTGGTCTAGCAGAAGAGAGGCAGGAGACGCCATGAAGGAATCGGACACTTAGAAGGAAGACTGGACAGATTTGGAGTTAGACTGAATATGGAAAGAGGGAAGGTGGAGGGATAGGCTTGCACAAGGAGATGATTGGTGGTACCACTTTCCAAGATGTGGAAAACGTGGAACAGTAAGAAATCCCAAAGCAAAGACACCTGGGTCCCCAGTGACCTGTTCAGTCCAGTGGCCTCCGTGGGGTTTCCGGGTGGCCAGCACCTTTCCTTACGCCCCCCTTCCGCCGCCCCGCCTAAGCCCAGCTGCAGGTCAGTGGCTCTGATCTCCGGCGCCCACAGGCTCCGGCGCCGTGCGCTCGCTCTCCGAGCTTGACTGCACCTCCGGGCTCCCAGGAGGATGCGGGGGCGGCCCCCAGGCCAAGCTCAGTTCTCGGCGGGGAGCGGCTGGGAAGAAAACCTGGGAAAGCCAAGCCCGCGTCGGACCCAGACATCCACCCCTAACGGACACCCAGAGCACTACGCGGCTTCCCCGGAAGGCGGCGCTGCGGCGCCACCAACCCTCCCAGGCAGGAGGCTACGCGGCAACCAATAAGCGGCCGTGGGCGTCCCGGGCGCCCCGCCCACCTCCTCTGCCCGGGACTGGGTGCGTGGCCTGCCGGGCTCCTACGCCCGGCGGACTCTCGGCATACCCCTCTCCAGGTCAGTCTCTGAGGGACTCCGGGCTTTTTTTTTTTTTAAGGTTTTTATTTATCCATTTGTCAGAGAGAGGGTAAAGCAGTGGGAGCGGCAGGCTCCCCAGTGAGCAAGGATCCCCATGCGGGACTTGATCCCGGCACCCCGAGATCACGACCCAAGTCGAAGGCAGACGCTTAACCAACCGAGCTACCCAGGCGCCCCTCAGGGTTTTCACTTTAAGTGTGGGTGGGCTGTGGGAAGAGCTGGGCGTAAAGGAGCGAATCACCTGCTCCAGTTTCCGGTCTGGAGGTTTGGGGTGCGGCGCTGCAGGAGGGCTCCCTGCTTTATAATCCTGGACCATCCAAGAATCATCCGGCCTCGGGTGCTGTTGGGGAAGATGGGAAGAAAGGGACGGCGACTCGCGCCAAGGAAGACGCACGGGAAAGAAGAAACACGAAAGGAATACATGCCACTGCGCTCCTTAGAGCGTTGGGATGAATGAAGAAAAATGTATTATTGAAAAGTCAGAGTAATGAAGTTGGTGGGAGGGCCGCCTGGCACCAGCCGAAACGTCTGTTGAATGAACGACAGAGAATCAGAGAGCGGGGGGCTCCTCTTGAAGCGAAGGGGGCAAAAGGGAGTTAGAAGGGAATTTCACAGCGTCCTCGGAACCCCTCTCTCGAATATAACCGCAACTAAGTCCAAGCACTAGGGAGTTATGGGTAGCTGAGGGTGGGCTCCCTGAAGGAGTGACCCTGAGAGGTCTGGGAAGACTCGCTGTGGAGTTAGAGCCCATAGCCGCGCGCGCAGCGGGAGGGAAGACACACGCGTGCTATTTCGGGACTGGGCTGGGTGGGGCTGGGAGAGGTGTTCTTCGGAAGGGGCGTGGCCTCAGGGCCATCAATGCTGTCCCTGTTTCATTTTGTTACTCCCCAGTCTAAGCGACTGGGCGCGGCCAGTGCGCGGGCGGAGCCTCGTGAGTTCGTTGCCACGGTGACGGGCTCCAAGGAGGCTTTCCCGGGGCGAAGAGGCGGGGCGCTGCTGTGGTCGCCATGGTGACACCTGCGGAGGGCGGTATCTGGGCTGAGTGCCCCTCCCCCGGGACAAGGGACGCCTGGGGATAAGCAGCCGAGTGACGAAACAACGGAGGGCCGAATGCCACCTTCAGGGAACGGGGCCGACAAGGGGCGGGGCCGTAGATGATTTGGACTGGACGAGAGCCAAGTTCTGTTAGCCGACCGGCTAGACCAGGCGGCCTGGGAGAGGAACTCGAGAAGCGATCCTTAGCCCGAATATAAATGAATGAAAAAAATGAATGACTTGGTTCCTCAGGGTGTTGGGATGGCTTGTTGAGTGGCTGGATGAATGAGTGGATAGGTACCTGGCCCTCACCCACTTGTGACAGCCGAGAAGGAGACACCTGCCCCTCCTGGGGAAGTGGAGCAAATCCTCAGCCCAAACGCGGAGCCCAGAGCCGACTCTGGCAGCCTCTAAGATAGGGAAGGATGAGGGATGGTCCAGCCCAGGGCCCACTTCTCCTTCCCAGGTTTCCTGCTCAGGTGCTAATTCTTCTTTGTCCCAGCCTCCATCCTCTCTCCCAGTGTGCCCAGCTCCTCGGGGACGCCTGGCCGTCCGGGCCTTGCCTGGTGCCCATTAAAGCAAGGTCCAGAGCCCCAGCGGATGTGAGATCTGCATCTCAGATGTTCTCCTGAGACTGTTGGAACCCTGCTATATAGGATGAGGAGGAGTGGACAGGGAGCTGGTCCCACCCCAGGTGGGGGTTGTTCAGCAAACAGCTGATGTGAACTTTATCAGGTGGGGAATGATCTAAGGATGTAGACTGAGGCCCCTGGGTGGGTGTGGGGGGGTCCAGAATTCAAATGTTAAACTTCCCCCTCCCCATCCACTAAATATATCCAAGGGCTCCTCATGACATCCACTGTTCTTTATAGTATGTGCAGGAAGAAAGGGGTAGGGGGAAGTGGTGGTAGAGGTAGGTCAAGAGTCCCTAGTGGCCATGGCCAGGAAGGCAGAGTCCCTTGTCTCCAGGGTGTGGGAGGTGGGGCTAGGTGCCCCCTATTTGCATTCAAGGAGGTTAACTTAGCTGAACAGACTTGTTTTCCAGATTAACTAACTGTCTTGGTGGATCAGGGAGTGTGAAGTTCAGAACCGGGCAACTGGTCCTACAGCTTCATGCTCCACACTTCCCACCGTTTGCCCCCTGGGATGGGACAGAGGAGCAGAGTGCCAGCATCAACTCTCCAGTATTTGCTAAAAGTGGAACATTCTGGAGCTGCGGCCACCTCCTCTCTTTTAACCCCAAATATCAGGTGTCATATCAGAGATCACCCTTCCAGTGAAGACTCAGTATGCTCCTGCCCCAGAGAATGCAGAAGGAGCTTCATGCCGTGGGGTTCAGGAGACACTGAAATTAGCCACAGGCCATCTAGGACATCAGAGCATTATTGCTTGCCCATGTTAAGCTTGTTCACAACAGTGGCCAAGGGGGGTAAATCTGGGGGAGTTTCATCTAGAAAATAGGTTCCCAAAGAAGGAGGTGGCCAGGAACATACTGATGGGTCGAAGACTGATTCTGTTCCATGAAATCCAAGGATTGGAAATAGGACAGAAGTTAGAGAAAACCCATTTCCTCAGGTTCAACCTAAGGATTTTCTTCTGACAGCTGTCCAGAACGGTGAAATGTGGCTCTGGGAGAACATAAGCCCTTGGCACCCAGGCCTCAGTCCCTGGCAGGCCCTGTTTTTGAATTGCAACAAAAGACTCGATGACACGGTGAGGAGGTGTGCAGGGTTTGCTGTTAAGACGTGGGGAGTGGGCTGTTCCTCACTCCCCATGGGAACAGCAAGAGCTGAGCAACGAACACTGGGGGTACTGATGGTGAAGCCATGCAGGTTGAATCTGGAAATCCGTAGAAGATTCCTGAGTAGGGGAAATCAGGTACTAGAAAGCGCGGGCAGGGGAGGTTGTACATGGTGGTACTACTCGACAGACCAGTGAACAGGGAGGCATGGGGACCCACTGCATGAGGACAGTTCAGGTTGGGGGGCTGAAGGCCTGGGGGAACGGCAGGGATGGGGAGGGTTGAATTGGCTGGCTGGGGAGGGGGTTCCCCAAAACCCAGCCCTTTGAGGCTTCAGCTGTCCCCACTACCAGCCCCAGGCTCCTGGACATTTGGGAAGCCAAACAATTAGCCCGGCTGTAGAAAAAATACCTTTTTATTAATTATTAGGAATAATCCATTCATCGAATGCAGGCTGTGTGTTGGGAAAGGTTAGGTACTGCCGGATGGAGGAGGGGAAACGTGCAAGAGGGCAGTGAGAAGGGGGACAGTCCCCCCGCTTTCCACAAACTATAAACAGCAACATGAACACAGAGAATCACAAGTAAGAGGATCCTTCCTCATGTCTCCTCCTGTCCCACTCTTTCAGAACGAGTCCCACTGTGGTCGCTAGAGGTGCCAGGGCATCTGGAAGTTCTGGGCTGGGAGCGGGGTGCAGTGTGTGGCCTCAAAGTTGTGCAGATGCTTCTGAGCCTGAACAAAGAGGGCAGGACAGGTGGGGTGCAGAGCACAGCGGTGAGCAGCCACCACCAAACACCTCCACGGCCCCTGAAACCGCCACCCGCGCTCTACAAGCTGCCACTTCCGATGCTGTCCCCAAGTCCCACACGTGCCCCCTGGCCGTCCCAGCACCCCCCTCCTGCCTGCCACCCCTTAGCTCACCAGAAACAAGGCCAGCTGCTGCCTTCCGTCTGCATCCATGTCCTCCCCTGCAGGGAAGAGGCGCTCACACAAGGGCCATACATCCGGGGATTCATCCCCCTCCTGGACTCTTCCCGACACCCTCTCCTGCCCCAGGACCTCCTTACCCACACTCCAGGGAAAGTCAGGCCCGTGTTCTGCCTGGTAGGAGCGGAGGACGGATAGGCACCAGTCCTCCTCCACCTCCCAACGGCTGTAGATCGAGGCTGCGCAGGCAGAGAGGGGAGCCGCGTCAGTGACCTGGCCTTGCCACGCCCCCACCCACAGGCCTCGGGGCATCCCCTCGCACCTTCCTCCAGCTGTGAGGAGGCCTCCAGCCACTGCCTCACCACTCGAAGACCCTCCTCTGCCATGACACGGGGATACCTACAGAGGGAGCACCGGGAGGGGAGGTCAGGACCCAATTCCCTTCGCTCCTCACCCCTAAACCCTCCTCCCCTCCCCCCCCCCCCGCTGGCCAGTGTCAGCACACACATGTACAACGCCCCCCCCCACCCCCACCCCCGCCGGCTCACCGATACTGCAGGAGCTTCAGCAGGAGGTCATTGCCTCGGTTGGACATGATATCCTCGGGAACCCTGGGGGTGGGAAGAATGGACACTGGAGGGGCTTAGGTTGGGGAGGAAGGGTCTGGATACCCAGGTTTCTGGCGGGCAGAGGCAGGAGGGGTAACTTCCTAGCTCTGTCTGGGATCCGGGAGGGGAGAGGTTCCCAGGCACTCACGTGGTAGTGATGATCTCATCCTTGGTTCTGCGAATCAGCAGCACAGGGCCCTGGTACCTTCAGAGGACAGCGTTGTGGACAGGGAGTGCTCAGAGGGAGATGGTGACAACCGGCTACCCACCCCCCACGGGCTGCCTCCTCGCCCCCTGCTACACAGGGCTAGCCCATCACCCAGAGGTGAGAAAATGTTGAAGAATGGGCATTGCCCAAAGCGTGGCCTTACTGGGAGATCTGCTCGAATACCCAGCAGAGCCTGTACAGGGGGGAGGTGGAGAAGGTGCTACATGCTGGATGCTGGCCTGCCCTCACCTGCATAGCTGTTCTGCGTTGTTCAGATTGAGATGCTGCCTCACAGTCCTGGTCACCAGGCCCCCTGGAGTGGGATACAAGTGAAGGGATGACAAAGACAAAGCCCTTGCCCAAAACAAAGGTCCCCACTGTTCACAGAAAGAGAAAACTGAGGCCCCAGACAGGGGAGTCCTCCTGCTTCTCAACAATGGGGTGACCCACTCCCCACCCACAGCAAAAGGATCCATCTCCAGTTAGAATTAAGCTCCCAGTTCCAGCCCACCCCTTCCCTGGAAGGGCAGGCCTGGGAGCTGCACTCACTCCAGCTATCTGGCATGACCTTCAAGGCCAAGGGCACCAGGTCATCAAAGGAGGCATCCAGGATCACGGCACTAATGTCTGGGTAGGACATGGCTGCCCACGTGGCTGGTACCAGGACAGGGAAGAAGGGTGAGGACCAAGGGGCTCCTGCCCACCACCCCACCCTTGTCCCATTGACCCTACAGGCTGACACCATCCTCCCTACTAGGTTAGCCCCAGGTGTCCCTTAACCCCTCACGTCACTTGGCCAGGGCACTATCAGGAAAGGATGGAGAGAGAACATCAAGGTGCATCGAAGACTGTGCAGAGGAAAGATTCACTTCCTGATCCCCGCCCCCCCACGCCCAGGATCCTGGTCTGCTTCTTTTAATAATGCGCAAAAGAGAGGCACCTGGGTGGCTCAGTCGGTTAGGCATCCGACTCTTAGTTTTGGCTTGGATCGTGATCTCGGGGTGGTGAGATTGAGCCCCGTGTCAGGCTCTGCACTCAATGGGGAGTCTGCTTTGGATTCTCTCTCTCCCTCTGCCTCTGCCCCTCCCCCTCGCTCGCTCTCTCAAATAAATACATAAAATCTTTTAAAGAAAATAATGGGTATAAGAGTGGAAGGAAATGTGAATGTATAGAAAAAGGATACCATCTTCCAGACCCACACAGATATCCCACTTCCATCCTCTCCTCCCTTAAGCCTCGACCCCACTGCCAGGCCCCCAGTGTACTTCCCTACCTCTCCTTGGGGTGGGGTAGGGGTGGCACAAATTGGGAGGAGGGGGGCAGGAGGTAGGCTGGTACCAGTGAAGCCGCCGATGGACCAGGCATAGATGATGATGTCCTGGGGCTGGAAGCCCAGGCGGTGGATGGCAAACTGGACCACCACATCCATGGCATTGGCCTCATTCTGAGGAAATGGCACCCCCTGCAGGAGGAAGGGCAAAGACAGGGGTGAGTCAGCACCAAAGGCCACCTGGGTCACTTGCCCGCTCTGAGCATGGACTCTTCTTAGAGCAGACAGGGAGCGTGCCAAAGAAAAGCGTGGTGGGAGGGGCTGCACTCTCCAAAAACCAGACTGCCCGCCTCTCCCCACTGCGAGAGGAGGGGTCTGACTTCCTGCTCCGGCACCTAGGTGACAGGTGAGTGGGAGCCCCCCTCCAGAAAATATACCCCTTTCCCTAACTCCAGTGGCTGACCAGGAGGAGACAGACCATAATTCAGGAAAAGAAAGGGATTTCAGAGAGGGTCTCACCGTGCTTCCAGCAAAGCCTGGATGGTTCCAGCCCAGGACTGAATATCCAGCTGCAACAGAGGAGGGGGAGGGGTTAGGACCTCATGGTGCACATCCCCCCCAGCCCCCTCCAGCCCTGGGGGAAAGAGCAACAGAACCCTGGAGCTCTAAACACCCCCAGACTCAGAGGCGAATTAACTCTGAACCTTCCCAGAATGGGGAGATGACATCAGAGGTTCTGAGGCAGCAGAAGGGAGAGATAAGTGATCGTGTGGTGGCGACAGAACCAAGGCCATCCTGTTAGGGACACAGCCCAAAGGGAGGGATGTTTGGTTAGCAAAGCAAATGGGGAGTACACTTTCCCCCAGACGTGAGAGTTTTAAACCTCACTCAGACAAGGTGATCGGGCCGGGGAAGTTTTATCAGTGTGGGAAGGTGGGGCTGTTCCATTCCAAAGGGCAGAGACAAGAGAGCTGAGCCTCGGGCCTACCTTCCAGAGGTGTAGAAATGCAGCCCACCTCATAGAAGCCCGCGTTCCCCTCACAGCAGATCACCTATGGAGGGAGGCAGGAAGGAGGGCTGGGAAGGAGCCAAGTTGGGACAGAAAATGCCCCATGTGGTAGGACGTGGGAGCTTTATAGGGAAGAGGAAAGGGCCTGTTCTCTTCAAGGGGAATGAAAATTTCTCAACCCACAAGCTGCATAGGAACAGAAGCAAAGTGGATGCAAATGCTTAGCAAACTGAGCCCTCAGAGGATGAGGAACTGCTCAACCACCCAGCAGAGTGTCCACTTCTCCTTGGAAGACCAGCTCTCAGAAATGGGGTTATGGATACTTTTTTTCTTTTCTAGTTTTTGGGTCTATTTTTTCCCATGACTGTTTCTTTTCTGGGGCATGCCAATTGCTTTCCATCTCTGGGCTCCAGACTTAGAGTCAGGTAAACTCTAATTACATGGTGCCCCATGCCGAAGCCCAGAGACAGCGGGGCTTGCATGGACTCTCACAGCCGTTGGGTAGAGCCAGGACCAGAAGCCAGCTCCCTAGACTGTTGGCTCAGGGCTCCTTCCAGGGCTGCTTCACGGAGGCATGCCACTTGGGAGGCCAGGCTGCCCGGGTTCAAATCCCAGCTCTCTCACTGTGTGATCTGGGAAAATTATCCTGGGTCTTTAGTTTCACCATCCGTAAAATGGGCTGACATAAAAAATTAGTTCCTATTCTACAGGGTTGTGGTGAGGATGAAATATATGCCTTCTATGTGACAAATGCTGCCTAAGTGGTGACTGTTACAAGATTACTTTTTGGTCCTTGAACGTCAACTCCTACTTCCTCCATTTTGCTATGGCAGGGTTTTCTGACACCAAGAGGTCTTGAGGGTGGGGCTGGGAGACGGGATTATCCTTGGGGCTGCTGGAGACCTTGAGATCCCCAGAGCCTCCACTGTCCCCCCCCCCCGTCCCCGCCCCCCCCCCCACTGCCTCTGGGCTCCCTGCTCCCTCTCACCAGCTTCTGTCCCTGGGGCTCTGCTGACCCCCGCCGGTCTACAAACATGGTGTCGATCTCGTTGCCATCAAAGGCCAGCAGCTTCGCCCGGCGCCCGTTACACTGAGTGAGGGAGATGTGAGGGGCGGGAGGTCACATCCCTGGTCCGGGGCAGAAGGAGTATCGGGGTGGGGGGGGGAGTGCGGGGGCGCCTCACCTCTTCCACCAGCCGGGCCTGGCCCTGCAGTAGCACAGGCATGAGGGCCTTCTGGAGCAGGTACACTGAGCCAGGGTACAGCATCCGGCGCCCCAGGGTGTGTGCCACCAAGTAGCTGCGGGGAGCACAGGGGTTAACCGACCCTTGACCTCAGGAGGGCCCAGGGGCCATCCCAGCCCTAGCTCCCAGAGACGCTGGGGCCTGCTTCACTCCTGAACTTCAGTTTTGTTTTCTTGACCTTTACAGGTTTGTTTTCCTTTTGAAGGACTTAATGAAATAGTCTATGTACCAAGCTGGTGTTTTTCAAACTTTTGTTTTTACTACAACCTTTATAAGGGGCACATTTCATATTGCGGCCGAGTACACACATCTGTACATATACTGAAAATTTTAGGAGATAATATTTTCTATATATGATAAGTAAAAGTAGTTATTATTAACTATGATTCTGTTAATGTATAAATACAACTTCGGGGCACCTGGGTGGCTCAGTCGGTTAAGCGTCCAACTCTTGGTTTGGGCTCAGCTCATGATCTCAGGGTTGTGACATCATGCCACGCGTGCGGCTCCGGGCTCAGCGCAGAGTCTGGTTAAGATTCTCTCTCCCTTTGCCCCTCCACCACCCCACCCCACCCCTGCGTGTACCTGTGTGTGCATGCACGCTCTCTCTCTCAAATAAATAAATCTTAAAAAATGCAACTTCTTAGAAGTCCCCAAGTAAATAATACTCTTTAAAAAATGACAGCTGTAATTCACTCAGTTGATTTTAAGATTCACAAATAGGTCAAGATCCATAGTTTGGTTTTTGTTTTAAGATTTATTTATTTATTTGAGAGAGAGAGAGAGAGAGTGTGAGTGAGTGTGTGTGTGTGTGTGTGTGTGTGTGTGTGTGTGTGTGTGCGCGTAAGCAGGGGGAGGGACAGAAGGAGAGGGAAGCAGACTCCTCAGTGAGGACGGCACTAGAGGCAGGGCCAATCCCACAACCCTGAGATCATGACCTGACCTAAAAATCAAGAGTTGTTTGCCCAACTGACTGAGCCACTCAAGTGCTCCAAAATCCATAGTTTGAAAGACACCAAACTAGACTGCAGACTCCACAGGGGTAGAGACCTGACTGTTCTATGCACTGCAATGTGTCCTGTATCTGCCATGTAGCAGGTGGCCACAGCCTGACACAGAGTAGGGGCTTAAATATTTACTGAACCAATGTGCTAATCTCGACAGATAGGCAGGTGCTGTTCCTGAAAACAACAATTCACCATTTCCAGTTAATCCTGAAATAGGATTTGTCCCCAGAAAAACACTGTACCACTCCGTCCAGCATCCCCTCCAAACCGCAAATTTGGCTTGCCCCTCTGACCAATCAGCACACTGTCCACACTGATCACTAAGCCCTCCCCTTTCCTTGGTATCCCGGAACCTGCCTCCCAGCCCCCAGCACCACCAGAAAATTCCCACAGCACCCGCGCCTCGGTAAGATACGGATGCTTACTGCTGGTACTTCGGACATCATCAGTGTCCACAACTATGAGTTACTTGGGCTTTGCCATGTGCTCTCAGGAACCCAGGCAAGGTGGAAGCCCTTGTGAATATGTTACCCTACTTAATCTCACCAATCCTACGGCGTGGGTTATTCACGGATGCAGAAAATGGAGCTCTCTTAAGGTAGAATAGCCTAGGCGCTGAGCGCCCGGGACACAGCTGCTCTGGCTAAGGCCGTGTGTCTCCACCACACCCCCAACCTCATTCTTCCCTCCAGCCTCATTAAAAGAGCTTCTGTGGGGCGCCTGGCTGGCTCAGTTGGTAGAACATGTGACTCTTGCTCTCGGGGTCGTGAGTTCAAGGCAGGTGTAGAGTTACTCAAATAAATAAACTTAAAAAAATAACAAAATGAAAGAGTTTTTGTGTCAGGTAGAATCGTGTTAACATCCCAATCCTTCATTCACCATCTGTGAGACTCTGGACCTCTCTGAGCCTCTTTTCTTCACATACAAATCTAGATTAGAGACTACCACAAACAATATCAAGTCTACAGCACGAGGCCCAATAAAGGACGGCTATCTTACAATGGAGCACCCAGTCCTGGAGTCCTCGCTCCGTATCCCTTCCACCCCAGTGGGCCTCTCTCCCTGGTGCTTCCCACCTGGTTATCTGACAAGGCAGCTTCTTGACCCGGTTGAGGAGGGTGTCTGCTGTCCCCCGGTGCAGGGGCTCTGGGCGAAGCAGGGCCACACCTTGGCGGGAAGGGCCCCCTCGAGACTCCTTCCTGAGGATGGAAAGATGCAGGGGAGGATGGAGTTAGGAGCAGCAAGCTGGACATCCGAGGCTCAGAGGACAGGGGGCGTCTAGGAATGAGGAGATGGCGCTGGAGAGCAGGCCCTGGGGCCCAAGATGGGGCTGGACGTGGGCGACAGGACAGAGCAGGGAGGGAGTGAAAGAACCGGGGCCTCACCGGCTGCTGGGCTCTTCCCAGTGGAAGTCGACTGGCCAGCTCTTAAAGTCAAAGTTGTAGTTGGCGAGCTGCCGCTGTGGTGCGCAGGGGGAGAAAGAGGAGGGGAAGCAAAGCGGGACTAAGAAGGCAGGCCTACCTCCCCACCCTCGTCACCCTCATCATCCACAGGGCTGGCCCACACACATGATGGGGAGACGAGTCAATACCCCCCCCCCCCCCCCCCCGAGTTCACAGAGGGTAAGCTCTGTCATGGCCTGAAAAATCAGGCAAGAGAAGATGCCCTATCCGTTCTCAGGACTGGCCTGGCTGCTTCCAGAAGAGAACTTAACAGTCTTTGCTTTTCCAAAATGTAAGACTGACCCACTCCCAGAATGGGTGGCTGGAGGTGCTGGTGCTTCTGAGGAAGTGGGGGGTCCGTTGCCAGTCACCACTCCCCCCCCCCCCGACCCCCGGGTCCTTCCCCTGATGCTGTCCTGGAGGCTGGGTGAGAGGGAAGGAGGGAAGTCATGCCTACAGTGGTTCCTTTGCATTGGGACCACCTCTTGAATGAAGCCCTCTCTGACTCTTCCGTCCTCACAGCCACCTCCCTTCCCTCACCTTCTGCAGCCAGGGGCTGGTGATGCCACCCAGACCATCCCCGCCGCCAGTCACCCCACTGAGTCTGCCCACATGCTTTTTGAGGGTGGCGGGAGCTGCGTCTTCTATTCTGCTGTACTCCCTCCCTCAGCCCCGGAGCGCCCAGCATTCTATTTTGAGAGCTGTTTTTTATTTTCCGTCACAGAAATTTTTTGACATTTTCAAAAATAACTTGACTAAGAGGGAACAATAGAAACACTCTACAAAAATGTAAATGGCAAAACAAAACAAAATGAAGAAAAGCAAATTTCAGACAGGCTTTGCTCAGACCCGGATGCAAATCCAGACCCAGCCACTTCCTTTGCTCTGTGACTCTGCTTGTCACTTAACCTCTTTGTATCTGTTTTCTCAGAGGTATAGTAATACCACCTCATGCGGTTGTTGTGAGGACTGGGAAGTGCAGTCTGAGGCATATGCAAAATGCCTCAGACGGCGGCGTGCTGGACCATCATTACATAGCTCGGTAAATGGAGGTATGGAGCAGGATGATGGTGGTCACAGCTGTTTGATCCCAGGAGCCCCTTTGTAACAGGAAAAGAGCTTTATAGGGCCCCAAAGCCCCTTCTGAAAGATAATCACACTCCAGCACCAGCTGGGCTGGCACAACTCCAAGGACACCGTGCCTGGCTTTTCTCCCTCTTGGCGTCACACTGTGCTTCCGGGCACAGGAGCGGACATACCTGTCCATCTTGTCCCATCCCTGAACAAAACTAGCATGGTGTTTGATGCACGTGGCCAAAATAAACACCACCTACACAACTGAGCTGCTCTGATAGAAGACCACCTTTGAAGAAACACCGTGGAACATCCCATTAGGAGTGGTAGGAAGGAAGATTCCTTGGGTGGACAGTTCACTTGCCCAGTGGGGAAGGGATATAGCAGTGGGCAAGCGAAAACCCAGTGTGGTCAGGAGCTGGTGCCCCGTGCTCCGGGGAGGCAGCTGAGGAAGCTGCTGCCAGGGCACCCGTCTGGCACCTCTCACCTTATTCTCGGCAGACTGGTTCCTGTGCGTTGCCTCCAAGATGGTGATGAACTGCCGGTACTGGGGGTTGGTCCAGCGGCCAATGCCTGGTAGAGAGAGGAGAGGAAACAGTGTCAGGAAAAGTGGGACGAGCAAGCTGAGTAAGCTTCCGGAAGAGGGTTGGAGATGGGCAAGGAGAAGGCCCTGGAAAGAGAAGTGGGAGGAAAAGGAACAGATGGCCCAGGGTCTGGGGAAACAGGAGAGTCGAGCTGACCCCCTTCCTCCGTATCTAGCAACTGGCTTCAGTGTTCTCCTCCTACCCAGCTTCTTCAGTTTGTTCCTTGATAGGCTACCAACTCTCCACCCTCCAGAATGTTCACTTTCCCAGTCTTACCACAGCTTCACGCAACCTTCCTAGTCACCCCGGTGAGCACGGAGCTGCTTGCTTTCCCTCTTTTCTCTGTACGGTCTAACTCCCTGCCATCTGGCTTCCTGGCTCCCGCTCTTGCCCCATCATCACTTCCTCACTGAATCTGCGTCCCCTTCCTCCGTCCACGCTCTCTTCCAACGGTGCCTCTCAGCACTCTTCCTGTCCCTCGAGACTCCTTCCTCCTCCGCTTCCTGGGTCCATCTTTTCCACCGTCCGACTCCCAGACTGCTCCTCCCAGCCTCCCTTCCACATCCCTCTTGGAAGCAAGAGCCATCCTCAACGCTAAGCTCTTTCCTCTTTTCACCTGGCCCTTTGGCGATCACATCTGCTCTCCCTTCACTGCCAAGCAGTCTCAAGCCCTGCCTTCTCTGCTTCCACTGACCTGGCAGTTGTCACGGGCCACGCACCATTGATGTGGGAGGCATTGGAAATGGGACACACAGGTTCCAGCCCTGAGAGCTGGGGCTTTGGCTGGGGGTGGGGTGGGGCTGGAGAAAGACGGTAAGCAAGTAAACAACAACATTTCAGAGAGGGGAAAGTGCTATCAAGAAAATAAAACCAGAACGAACTAGAATGCTATTAACATCAGCGGTAGAGACCCCAGACAATACTGCAGAATGAAGCAAGGTGCAGAATGACTTGTACAGCGTGATGTGATTTGCGACAAAAATGTAAAATGAACAAAAGAAGGGCTATATGTTGTTTTTAGTTACCATATTTCATAGATTCTAAAATGCCTATTTTTCTTTCACATTTGAAAACTGAAGTCGGAATGCATTTTACAATTCATAACAGTTTAGATTTGATAAAATGAGGCCTATCTTTCATAAAAGCATAAAAATGTGGACCAGGAAAGAAACCCCGCCAAATGGCAATGGTTACTTCTGGGGAAAGAGGAACACAGAACTGGGGAAGATTCCAATGGGAATGCCAACTCTGAATGCAAGGCTTCAGTATTTTATCGACAAAAGGTATTTGAAGTAGTATCACAAACATAAGCCTTTCAGTTCTTTATGATAATGGGGCGCCTGGGTGGCTCAGTCAGTTAAGCGTCTGCCTTCGGCTCAGGTCATGATCCCAGGGTCCTGGAATCAAGCCCCATGTCCGGCTCCCTGCTTGGCAGGGAGCCTGCCTCTCCCTCTCCCTCTGCCCCTACCCCCTGCTTGTGCTTGCTTTCTCTCTCTCTCTCTCTCTCTCTCTCTCTGTGTCAAGTAAATAAATAAGATCTTAAAAAATATAATTATGATGATATTTTGTTCTCTGGGCTTTTCTGTATTTAATTTTTGTGCCCAAATTAAAAATAAATAAAATTTAAAAGTAGGACAGAACCGAGGAGTGGGAGCTACTTTTAGATCAGGAGGTCAGGGAAGGCCTCTCTGAGGAGGGAGCCCAGCCCAGTGGATATCAGAAGGCAGAACACTGCAGGCAGAAGGTCCTCACCCCTGCCTGTGCCCAAGTGCAGCCATCCATCTGCTGACCCATCACTCCCTCAAAGCATCCCCTCGCCCAGTTTTTGTCATGTGCACCTGCCAAGGGGCAATGATTTGGATAGTCTCCTCACTTTTAAATTGTGAGATATGACATACGTACATACAACACACATTCGGTTTAGAAAAACGCCAAGCAAACGTTCATGTGACCATCACCTGAGTCAAGGAAGAGAACACAGTCACATCCCCCCAGGAGCCCTCCCCAGCCTGTTCCCTCCCTCCCAGGTAATCACTCTCCTGACTTTCAAGATAACCATGCCTGTGTTTTGCTACTTATATATGCATCCCTTTTGAACTTTACATAAGTGGAAATACACTGCGTACCTTATCTGACTGGCTGCTTCTTGCATTCAACATTACAATTTTAAGACTCATCTGCGTTGCTGAGTGTAGCTTACATTTGCTCACTTGCACTGCTGTGCTGTGTGCTGTTGTAGAACTAGACCCTCTAGTGTATTTAACCATCCTACAATTTGTGGCCATGGACTTGTTTCCAGTTTCGGATTATTACAAACATACATATATGGACGTGTGTGGAATTACTGTAGGGTGTATGCCTCTCTTCCAGATAATAGCAAAGTTTTCTGCCAATTAGTTTTTCATTCTTACACCCAAGCCCTTTAAGGAAAAGATCGTATCTTCACCATTCCCAATTATTCCCCCTCAGGGCCCAGCACAAAATTTTATTTGCAAAAGCTACTTAATAAATATTTACCCAGTGAAGGATAGATCCAAACCAGGCTCCCTCTGGACCTACCTCGGAGACAGGCCACGCCTGCCAAGAGTAGTAGCAATGTCCCAGCATAGTGAGAAAACGGCACCACTTTGGACAGGCTCAAGTAACCTGGGAGGGGAGAGCCATTATGTGAGAAGTTTTCCCCACTGCCCCTCGGCATCTCTTCCCAGGTCAGCCCCAACCTCCGCCCCATACCCTCTCTTTGGGACAGCCATGCCCTTGGAGGAAGAAGATGCCTGATGGAAGAGGGAAGCCAAGCCATCCCCACAGGTCCCTTTTCCTCTTTAGGGGGGGGTCGGCTCATCTGCCAACAACCTGCCCATCACCTTTGAAAACACACTGACCTTTCCTGTATAAGTAGAAGGCGGCGAAGGGAGAGGAGTAATAAGAGATGGACCAGAAGACTGAAGCCTGCAGCAGAGAGACAGGGACAAGCAATCAATACACACACACAGGTCTGCCATTTCCAGGCCTAGGCTCTGAGCAAAGTGGATAGGAGGTCATATCAAGTACCTATTCTGTGCGTAACACAGTAGGTGCTTAATATTTGTTGAAAGGCAATGTATCAGAGCATAACAGAGGCTGGGGAAATTAGGTACAGGTTCTGTTTTCTTCCTCTTATCTCCGGACATAATTTCATCACGTTTAAAGGCCAGTTTCTTTTTCTGCTCAAGTTAATCAAGCCTTTTCCATCAGCCCTGCTCAGGACAGCACCTGGCCTGGTCCCCAAGAGATGCACAAACGTCACCATAGGAACCCTGCCAGAGAAAACAGCTGTCTTTGCAGCCAAAGAGGTTAGTTGCCAGGGAGGACAGGTCACTGGGGACTCAGCACCTGCAGACGGTCCCAAGAGTAAACACATTTTCGTTAGGGCTCAGGCTGCCCCAGAGAAAGCAAACACACCAAAGGGGAGTACCAAGTATGTGTGCTTGAGAGCATGTCCGTGTGTGTGATGGAGAGGGCTGCAGAGCCCAGAGCATCCCCCACCCCCAGGGGCGCTGCCTTCTCCCAGGCTGGGGAGGAGAAAGTTCAGGAGGGCAACTGGGTCGGAAAAGATGCAGTAGTCCCAGACGCCAGGGCAGACATACCAGTGCCAGAATGCTGTCAGCATGCTTCTCCAGGGCACGGGGTTGGTAGTACGTATCCTGCCAAAACAGATGGCCGCATCAAGGACCGTGTCCATCGACAAGTCCTTCCCCTTCCCTTTTGAGAGCCCTGATGTGTGTCCTCTGGTTCTAGCCTCCAAAGCAATCCCTCCTGGGACATCCCTGGCTCCCAGAGAAGCCCCTCTTCCCAACCCCCACTCCAAACCTGATTTCCTACCCCAGACCATGAGAACATAGGGGCCTGGACTTGCAAGCAAAAGTGAAAGCCTCACTGGACATTTTGTGCTCCTTTTCCACAGCCCAGTTTCAAAGGGGTTGTGGGCGTGTGCATACGGGGAGAGGAGTTACAGAAGAAAAGAGAGACACCATGACAACTTTAAGAGGGAAAGATTAGAAATAACAGTAGGGTGATTAAGGAGAGTGAGGCTGAGGGCGGGAAGTTCTGGAGGGCAATAAACACAATTTGAGCCTACCAATGAAAAGGTGGAGAACATGTAGGGGCACAGCCTACCACCACCCCCAGCTTTCAGGGATGCGATGACCCTGGGGTCCCCAACGTAGGGTGGGCGGTTGGGTGGGGGGCAGCGGATACATATGTCGAAGTCATCTTGAAATTCAAGGCCAGGGTAGAAGGAAGAGAAAACAGAACCGGGGAAGGCACCGAGTCAGAAGAAATCGAGAGTCAGACGGCAAAATCATCCAGCTCTCGAATCCGCGCAGGGTCTCTTCCAGGACTTAGAGTCAACTGGGACCAGCACGAACCACGAAAGACAGGGTGGGGGGCCGCAAGAGGAAAAAGCAAGGAGTGGTAGTCAGAATGAGAAAGCGGTGGCAAACAGCGATATAGAAGGCAGCCGGTCCGCAGGCGTAACTTTAACCCAGGAAGCACAAAGAGCACTTTGCAGACAACTGGCTTGACAAGCAGGCTCCCCCGATTTGCAATGATGGGCGCTTCTGGAGAGCAAAGGCCGCAAAGGGGTTTGGGCCGTACCATGTTTTTGACCAGGGGAGAACTCGACTCACCCAGGAGCTGGAAGGGGGGGTAGTGACTGAAGTTGGAGTCTCAGGGACGCCGGACGGGGCCCTTTCCGAGTCCCTTTCCCGGTAGATTTTGTAGAGCCGGGGGCCTAGGACGCAGCTCAGCAGCTTCGCCATGGCCCCCGCTCCGGCCGCTGCTCTCCCAGCAGCAGGTCCCCCTGCTGGCCCCGCCCTTTCCCGGCCTCTAAGGTATTGCGTGCCCTTGACGTCAGCACGTACCGGCTCCGCCTCGTGCCCTGTGGAGACGTTTTCCGCGCTGCTTGAGACGGTTTTCGTGCAGTTGGACCTACGGGTAGAGCAATGGTCAGAAATTAGTCGGAGGCGTTTGGAACGCGGAGAATTAGAACATTATCAGGCGTAGTTAAGTCCCCCCCCCCCTTTTAAATCCCTTAATATTGGTAGGCTCTCGAGCGACAGTGGGAACGAGAGGTAAGATTAGGAGCACTTGACAAGAGCAACAAAAGAGGAAAGGTGTCTAGGAATACATCTAACCAAAGAAATGCAAGATTTTATGAAGAAAATTACAAAAGTTTTTGAAAGAGGTAAACGAAGGCTTGAATAATTGGAGAGCTACATCGCAGTCATGGATAGGAGGACTCAGCATCGTTAAGGAGTGTGAAATACTGGTTAATACAAAAAAAAAAAAAACAGGAGGGGGGGATGAATTATCACTCTTAAGCGTGGACGAATCTCAAAACCTCAAAACCGTAATGTTGAGTGGAAAAAAGAAACCTACAGGTTATATACAACCTGACACCATTGTATAACGTCCAAAGAGAAAATTTAATGATCGAGAGTGAAAGATAAAAGCAAATTTAGAATAGTGTAACACAGCATAGAGAATCCTTGAGATGGTAATACTATTTTTTAATAGATATTCAGATTTGTTTTATTTTTCTTTGTACCTTACACCTACATAATATATACATTCTTTAGCTTTTTATTGCAGCAAACACCTATACGGAAAAGTGAACCATTTGAATATATCCATGTAATCAGCATCGAGATCAAAATTACATTATACCACATATACAAGATCTTCCTCAAATCACTACCTGCCCCACCAAGAGTAACCACTATCTTAATTTCTTTTTTTTTTGAGCTTTTATATTTGAGTTTATTCTTCATTTAAAACACTACTATAGTTGAATATTAAAACAAAAACAATAGCAAGTAGTGAGCTATGATTATAGTCCTTCACTCATTCACTACTGCATATAAAATGCCAGCAGTGTTTTTCACTGGCCCCATTAAGAGGTCTGACACTGAACACCACCCCTGGGATGATGTTCATCATCCTCATAGGCTTCGCCATTGTAATGGCGCCGTCTTTCCTGATTTGGATCAAAGTCCACCAGTTCTACCTGGTCCATTTCATCAGTCTCTTCTACTTCCTTCCTCTCAGGTAGGAGTTTTTCCAGCAAAGAAAGTTTATCAGGAGAGAGAAAGCCATTCTCAGGAAAGTTTACCTTAAATTCAATGATAAGGCGACCCTTCTCATATGGTCTACGATAAATTGGCATGCCTTCATTTAGCACACACTTGATATCTCCATGCTTGACAATTTGACCTGGGTGAGAGGTGATGACGATGGTTCGGTTGTCAAGAGTAGATACTGGCTTTTGAAAGCCACACAGTGCTTCAACCAGCTGTATGTCCATACACATGAAGAGGTCTTCTCCTCGCCGAGTAAAAACAGCGTGGTCCTTCTGATCTAAAACAATGATAATATCTCCTGGTTCCAGTCCTGGTTCTTGGTCTCCTTCACCATGGAATGTTATCTTCTGGCCGTCCTTCATGCCTTTGTCAATATGAACTTCTAGAATCTTCTTCTCTCGAACTATCTTCCTCCCATTGCAGTTTTTACATCTGTCTTTGGGACTGATCCGTTCCCCATGGCCCTGGCACTCCATGCACACAGACTGAATTTGCTGAACCATTCCAGGTCCTATCTGATGAATTCTTATTTGCATTCCAGTACCTCGGCAATTGGGACAACATTCGACTGCTCCTTTCTTACCACCTCGGCCTTCACATTTATCACAAATCACATTCTTTGGCAGAGCTAGTTTTCGTGTTGCACCATTATATAAATCTTCTAAGGTTACTGAGAGCTGATGCACAACATTTTTACCTCTCCTTTCTCTCTGCATCCTTCCTCCTCCTCCAAAAACCATATCAAAGATGTCCATGGGGGAGCCAAAACCACCACCAGCTCCACCTTCGTTAATTGCCTGTTCTCCTCCTTTGTCATATAATTCCCTTTTCTTTGCATCAGAGAGTACTTCGTAAGCTTGAGAAATCTGTTTAAACTTCTCTCCTTCATTTGGATTCTTATCAGGGTGGTACTTCAAGGCCAGTTTCCTGTAGGCCTTTTTCAATTCCTCTTGGGTGGCATTGGGTTTGACCCCCAAAACATCATAGTAAGTGGTTTCTTTCACCATTGTCTACAGCCGGTGAGAGGGCCGAGGCCGGTGTGGGGGAGCGGGAAGGGGCGCGTTGCTGGGCGCAGCTCGGGCAGCCGCCGCTGCTCCGCGTCTCACCGAGCGTTCTGGAAAGTTCCGCTTAATTTCTAAATTCATAGGTTAGTTTTGCCTGATTTTGTACCTCACGTAAATGGAATCATATGAAATCATGCCCTTTGTTTCTTGCTTCTTTTACTTGTTAGGTTACATTTGATGTAGTCTTTGGTATGCATGGAATATTTCATCAGAAACAATTTTAAGGGGGCACCTGGGTGGCTCAGTTGGTTAAGCGTCTGCCTTCAGCTCAGGTCATGATCCCAGGGTCCGAGGATGAGCCGCATGTTGGGCTCTCTGCTCAGTGGGGAACCTGCTTCTCCCTCTCCCTCTGCCCCTACCCACCCCCCACCTGCTTGTACTCTCTCAAATAAATAAAATCTTAAAAAAAAGAAAAACAATTTTAGAATAAAAAAACACCAATTCAAAGAGATACAAGCACCCCTATGTTTATAGCAGCATTATTTACAATAGCCAAGATATGGAAGCAGCCCATGTGTCCACTGATTGATGAATGGAGGAAGAAGATATGAGATATGTGTGTGTGTGTGTGTTTACACACACACACACACACACGCATATATATGGAATATTATGCAGCCATAAAAAGGAATGAAATCTTGCCATTTGCAATGATATGGATGGAGCTAGAGAGTATAATGCCAAGCAAAATGAGTCAGCCAGAGAAAGACAAATACTGTATGATTTCACTCATATGTGGAATTTTTTTAAAAAGATTTTATTTATTGGGCGCCTGGGTGGCTCAGTCGTTAAGCGTCTGCCTTCGGCTCAGGTCATGATCCCAGGTTCCTGGGATCGAGTCCCACATTGGGCTCCCTGCTCCGCGGGAAGCCTGCTTCTCCCTCTCCCACTTCCCCTGCTTGTGTTCCTGCTCTCGCTATCTCTCTCTGTCAAATAAATAAAATCTTAAAAAAAAAGATTTTATTTATTTAACACAGAGCGTGCATGAGAGAGCACATGCAGGGGGAGTGGCAGAGGGAGGAGAAGCAGGCGCCCCCATATGTGGACTTTAAGAAACAAAACAAGCAAAGGGAAAAAAGAGAGAAATCAAGAACCAGCCTCTTGAGGCACCTGGGTGGCTCAGTGGGTTAAGCCTCTGCCTTCGGCTCAGGTCATGATCCCAGGTTCCTGGGATCGAGTCCCACATCGGGCTCCCTGCTCAGCGGGAAGCCTGCTTCTCCCTCTTGCTCTGCCTCTCCCCTCCTCTTGTTCTATATCTCAAATAAATAAATAAAATCTTTAAAAAGAGAAAAGAAACAGACTCTTAATTATAGAGAACAGACTGATGGTTGGGGGGTGGGGCATGGGTGAAATAGGTGATGGGGATTAAGGAGGGCACGTGTCCTCATGAGCACCAGGTGATGTATAGAAGTGTTGAAGCACTATATTGTACACCTGAAACTAATAAAACACTATGTTAACTGGAATTAAAATAAAAAATTAAGGGGCTTCTGGGTGGCTCAGTCCCGTAAGTGTCTGCCTTTCCGGCTCAGGTCATGATCCTGGTCATGATCCCCGAGGGTCCTGGGATTGGGCCCTGCATCCAGCTCCCTGCTCAGTGGGGAGTCTGCTGCTCCCTCTCCCTCTGCCCGTCCACCCGCCCTCCGTGCTCTCTCGCGCTCATGCACTCTCTCTCCAATAAATAAAATCTTTTAAAAAATAAATAAAAAATTAAAAACATACCAACCATAAAAAATTTTTTTTTAAATAAACTTTAAAAATAAATAACACATTAAAAACTGTTAGAGCTATATGAAGATCTGTTTTGAGAATTCTGCCTGGGGTAAAGGGATTTGGTGAATTCTCTAGGCCCCTGTTATCTTTTTCCTTCAGGAGTAACTTAATACACTCATCAGGGGCTCAGAAGAGGTCTGTGGTGTGCCAGGCAGCCACAGGGAAAGTCATTCTAAATTATTCATGGAGTATTGACTAGGTATGCAGTCTTATGCTGGGTTCTGTGGAGACCAACATGAAGACTCAGCTTCTTCACTCATGGCTGGTATCTCTCTTAGGGTGGAGAAGAGAGCACAGAATGTACTTCCAGAATGAATGAAGGTGGACGGCTGTGCCCCCTTCTGCGCAGGCTTTTTAGCATGAAGTCTTTGATCTGTGTCCTTGAGCTGATGTAGAGTCAGAGTGTGAGATCATCTTCAGAACGCCCGGGACTGGGTCTTTTCCCCCTCGGGACTGAAAGGTGGTGGTCACTTTTTCCCCAGCAGGCATGAAGCTAGGCTTTATCTCTCCAGCATTCCCATCCCCTCAGAGGCCCATGTCACTACAGACCAGAGAATGTGGGCCTATATCTGGGTTTTGTTTCCTCCGTGAGGCACCAGGTCCTGGGCAAGAGAACTTGGCAGACTCTCTCCATGGCCGTCTTATTCCTCCTCCTTCTGTTTCTACGTGGACCCCACCGGGCTGCTGCAGGTAAGGAACAGGAGGTGGGGGATTCTTTGGCTATTTGAAAGGTTGTAAGGAACTACTGTTGTTTCTCCTTAGAGGCCTGGGGAAGGTATATGACTCAGGAAGATAGATTTACCCCAACTGACTCCCCCCTGCCTCTAATTCAGGGGAAGACCCAGAGACAACGAGGGTCCAGGTCATGTACAGTTTCTTTCTTTTTTTTAATGTTTAATTTTTTTGAAGATATTTATTTATTTATTTATTTATTTATTTATTTATTTATTTATTTATTTATCAGAGAGCGAGCAAGAGAGCGAGAGCACACAAGCAGGGGGAGTGGGAGAGGGAGAAGCAGGCTTCCCGCTGAGCAGGGAGCCCGATGCGGGGCTCAATCCTGGGACCCTGAGATCATGACCTGAGCCGAAGGCAGATGCTTAACCAACTGAGCCACCCAGGAGTCCCTAATGTTTAATTTTTTAATTTTGGGGGCTTTGTTTTGTAGAGTCTTTTTGGGGGGGGGTTATGTACAGTTTCCCTTAGAAAATAAGGATAGATGAGAAAATGCGTCCAGAAAAGGAGAAAAGAGAGGAAGGACCTTTGCCAACTATTCTAGCCTTTTTTCTCTTGCCTTCAGATTCCCTCACCCACTGGAGGAGAGTCTCCTCCTCACTTTTTGTAGCTGTCACTTGAGAAATGTACTCATAGCCAGACCCATGCGGGGAGACCCCAGAAGGACAGAAGCTGGGGGTTGGAGGTCAAGTGGGAGCTATCGATCTGATGCAGGTCTCTAGTCTCATACAACCTCCTCCCCACAGACAACATCCAGACCATCTATGTAGCCTTGGGGGAGGCGATGGAGCTGCCGTGCCCCTCACCACCCGCCCTGAGTGGAGATGAGCTCCTGTCCTGGTTCCGCAGCCCTGCAGCAGGCTCCTCCACTGTCCTGGTGGCCCAAGTGCAAGTAGCCAGTCCAGGCCCAGACCCCGGGAAGCCCACAAGGGTATCCAGGCTCAAACTGCTGGGGAACTATTCGTTGTGGCTGGAAGGGTCCAAGGAGGGAGACGCCGGTCGATACTGGTGTGCCGTGCTGGGTCAGCAACACAAGTACCAGAACTGGAGGGTATATGATGTCTCCGTGCTCAGAGGTGAGTGAAAGCACATAGATCAGGGGCCACTGGGGGGCCAGGAAGTCCAGCAGAGAACTAAGAGGTCCCTCTCTCCCCACAGGATCCCAGCTATCTGCGAGGGCTGCGGATGGATCCCCCTGCTCTGTCCTTTTATGTTCTGTGGCCCCTGCCAGACGCCTAGACTCTGTGACCTGGCTAGAGGGAAAGGGTCCTGTGAGGGGTCATGTACAGTCATTTTGGGGCAATGGGGCTGCCCTGCTCTTGGTGTGTCCTGGGGACGGGCTCTCTGAGTCCGGGGAACACAGACCAAGAATCATCAGCTGCCTCATGCCTCACAACAAAGGGGTCAGCTTTAGCCTGGCAGGTAAACTGAGGGAGGATATGGGAGAGGATATTGCCTCTGGCACAGTCTGCACCTGCTGGTTAGGGGAGGAAGATGGGACTTTGCCATTGGCCAGATTCCGGTGGGGGATGATTTCTGGTGGAGCAGACCATCACCTGTAGGAAGAGGGCTTTTTTTCTTATTGACGAACTCCCTAACAGAGAAGGGGGTTGTTTAAGCCAGCTCTCTGGTGGAATAGACCACTGGCCTATTGACCACTGGAAGGCTTCTGGTGGAATACACCATTACTTAGAAATGGGGTAATCTATGACTTTTGTGGAATATCTCATAGCAGAGAGGAAGAAAAGAAGAATTTTTGATGGGGGAATTGTCTTTTGAAGAAAAGATATATGCGCTGATGTTCTAATGGCCTACTGAGAGTGGAACTAGAAGCGGAAAAAATATATAATTGTTTTACAATTAGAAGTCCGTTATAAACAGAAAGAATGCTATTGGGTGTAGAATAACCCATTTACAAGGCAGGAGGGAGGAGCAAATGGCCATTACTTTGGTAAGCGAAGGTCAATTAATGGGCAGTGACAGGGTCTTATTTCCCTCTACATCCTCAGCACCTAATATGGTGCCTGGCATTTGGTGGGCACTCAGGGGATGCTTATGGAGTGAATCAGTGAAAGAAAGAATGAATTGGAAGGCACTACTTGTTCCTGAAAGTTTGGATTACTATTAAGGATATAAGGAAAACTGCAGTTATGGCTGACTGTCTGCTCTGGAGTTAGTTGTCCATATGTGGGTGGGGGGGTGTCCCTATTCGATACCAACAGGGGCTGACGGGGTCAGCATGAGAGGCTCGAAAATGGACAAAGTGGGTTGGTGGAAATTGGGGGCAAAGAAGCCTATGAAATCTTTTGGTGGGAAGAGCCCACTAGACTACGGGGGAAGCCTCTCTTCGCGGCACAGGAACAAACCCCTCACCACCTCCCTCCTGACCCCTGTTGTCTTGCCCTTTACTGTAGCCTCCACTGAGGTCTCCCCTGCCCTCTGTGCCCCTTCCACGGGCTGGGATGTGTCCTGGATCCTGATGCTGTTGCTCACAGTGGGTCAGGGGTTCACCATCCTGGCCCTCAGCGTCATGCTCTGCAGACAGAGGGTCCAGGGGATTCAGCGCAGAGGTGAGTCCCTCCCTCCCAGAGGGAAAGAAGAGAACATGTGGGTGTGAGGCAGAGGGCTGGGCTCACATCTTGCCTCTAAACCCTGTCTTCTCTAGGGGAGGAGGGTAGTAAGGAGTATAGCTCTGAGTTATCTGGTGATTTCTCTGCTGCACCCCATGTGGCTCCTTCTTCCCAGATGCCTCGATTCCTCAGTTCAAACCTGAAATCCAGGTCTATGAGAACATCCATTTGGCCTGTCTCAGGTGAGGAACACTAGGGGGTGCAGGCTTAAATCCCAGAGGAGACTGGGGTTGGGGTGGGTATGGGGGTCCCCGTTCCTGAGGAGGTGGAGAACGGAAGTATCCTTAATCTGTCTTTCTGCTTCACAAAACCCACAGCCCACCTGCCCCCAAGATCAGATGATCTCCATGACATCTGCTGGAAGCGTGACCTGCTGTTTCTCTGGCCATCTGGCACCTGAAGGCTTCGCCTGAAAACCTTGGCAAGGGGGGAAGGGCTGAGAGTGCTACTTTACAGTCCAGTTGGTCTCCAGCAGTCAAGCTGTGTGTGTGTGTGTGTGTGTGTGTGTGTGTTGGGGGGGGGCGCTGAAGGAAAGCAGAGATTATTCTGTGATGTCACCTGTGAGAAGGTGTGGTGTCCTGTTTCATAGCAACCAGTGAAGGGGTGGCCCTGAGCCCCCAGTACCATGGGATTGAGGGGAGCCCGGGGTGGCTGGCGGGGGTGAGGAGGGGTGGGCATGGGCAGAGACGAGATAGAAGAATCCAGAGATTTGAGCAATTGTGGAGAGTCAGCCTTGGGGAAACCACAGGACAAATGGAGGGGACTAAAGAAGAGGGAAGGGAAAGGACTCACGTTAGAGGAAAGAGATGGGCAGAGAGGGAAAACAACAGAAGCACCAAGTGGAAGGACTGAATGGCAGAGAATAGGAAGAAGACTCGGCTTGCCTCTAAATTAAGCCAGGCCACGCCCCAGCCCTGTCCCTCATCCCTGCTCAGTCTCGTTTGCACAGAGGAGTGGAGGGGGAACACGCACCTTTAATCAGACCTCAGGCTTCCTCACGTGGACGGGGAGGGCACTGAGTCAGGATGGGGCGGCCCTCCTTATCCTAGCACTTCATGCGGCATCCGGCCTCTGGCATCCGGAGCGGTGAGAGGCTTATCAACATCCTGACGTCCTGGGAGGCCCAGGAGTCACATGCTATCTCCCTGGGTAGAGGGAGTGTCCACAGGGGCGGGTGGGTGGATTCCCTGGTGGGGTGTGTCCTGGGCTGTCTGTGAACCGTGGACAAGCTTGGGCTGGTCAAGCGGGGGAGGGCACTGATGCTCTTAACTGGTCCATTCCCCGGTCTCAGGCAGAAAGGAGCTGGACTCCCCACCACACCCTCACAAGCAGCTCCACCAGACACACTTTTGTGTGTCTGCTCAAGCTTGGAGAGTGACTTCTCAGAAGTGTCACCAAAAGCCTTCATGCTACAGTGGCTTAAGCTAAGCTATTAGCAAGAAGGAGGACTCGAATGACACAGACGGAGAATGAGGTGAAAGTTACAGTTCAGGTCCCAGCAGCCAGCCCAACTCCCCAAGCAGCTCTAGTTTGCTTTTAGAGAGAGAGAGAGAGAGAGAGAGAGAGAACACACGCGCACACGCGCGCGCACACACACACACAGCAGTGTCCTAGACTCCCAGATAGCACTTTTATTCAATTTACTCTTCACAGTTCCCCCAAGAACCTCCTTCCTGAGTTCCTGACCTGTCAAATTAATCTTTCTTAGCAAGACTGTACTCCTCACCATACCTGGTGCCCCTTCAATCCCCTTGCCTGGGACCCCCAGCTCCATCAAACCGCCTGCCTTGCCCAAAACCGGGAGCTGAGATAGGACATCAGCGGTGGGCATCTAGAAGAAAACAAAGGACCTAGAACAGGTGTTCTTTATGAGGCAGGGCTCTGGGCAGGTGCCTATAGGGGCTACAGCAGTGCCCGTAGGAACCAGGCCTTGGGAGGGGTCTGGGAAGGTGTGAAGCCGGGAATCCCAGGTCTCTACAGAATCAGGTTCTTGGGCATATCTCAGATGCAGGTGTCTGGAGGGCGGTGATGATGGGGGCAGAGCCCTGAGTTGAAGGCTGCAGACCAGCTTGAAGCCAGCGGAGGAGGGGGCCTCCCCAGGTGAAGCTGGCCCCGAGGAGGAGCAGGGCGGTGAGGAGGGGGCTGGGGAGCGGCCGCAGCGTGGGGGCTGTGTTGCACAGGTCCTGCTCACAGCAGTGGTGCCGCAGAGCATAGGAGCGCGACCAGTAGGTGGCACGGCCCTGCAGAAGGCACTGGGCCCGTGGGAGGCAGCCTTTCCGTTCGATGATCTCATTCTGCTCTGTGGGACAAAGAGAGAATGCTGAGGCCGGGGCAGGAAGGAGGCAAGGGCTGGGGGCAGCAGGAAAAGCAGGATGGATGGATGGAGATTGGCCTGGGCCCGAGTCCTACCTGAGGTGCCAGTGCTGATGCCACAAGCTTCGTCGTCCTGACACTCGGTGGGAACAGGGTAGCAGGGTTTGGCAAAGCCGCAGGTGTAACAGCGGAGCCGACCCCGCGCAGGGGGCGGGGGCGTGGTGAGACCTGCAGGGGGGCGGGGAGAGGCAGAGAGGCCCCTGAGAGGCTGGAGCCCGGATCCTGGACAGGGATTCACGCAGAGAGGTGGGGAGAGGGAGGGAAGGACAAGGGCTGACAGAAGTAGGAAAGAGACACAGGGAAGGGAGGGGAGACAACTCAGGAAAAGAAAAAGACACAGAGGTAAGAGGGATCCAGAGGTTGTGAGAAAGGCACAGACGTGACAGAAGCCAAGAGAGTCAGAGAGGAAGGCAGAGAGTGACACCCAAGCCAGACCCGGAAGGCGGGGTGGCAGTGAAGAATTTAAGCAGATGGTGCCCCAGACCGAGAGCAAATAAGAATTGACACTGACCACGGGGTCCCTGCAAAGAAGCAAGAGGTGAGATAAGGAACAGGGGAGACAGGACAGAGGCATATCAAGATGCTGCAGGGAAGAGAGAGTTATTCTCAAATGCCTTGGAAAAGAAACTTCTGGTTCCACCTTCTCCTGGCCTGAGGCCATTCCCGGGAGCTCTTCTTTCTAAGGCCCATGCAACTCTCTGCTCAGCATCTTCCCTGTTTCTCCCCACCGGTCCCCCCTTACCCAGTGCCTCACAGAGGAACAGGATGCACAGGAAGATGCTGGAGGTGCCCATGGCTGGACCCAGGGCTCAGGAGTCTGGGAGAATGTGATCTGCACCCCGAGATCCTGAGAGCTAGAGCATCTGAGCGAGACAGGGAGGGACCAGTAAACAAACACACCTAGGGAGTGAATCTGGGGGGTGGAACCAGGACCAGATTCACCAGCCTGACGCAGTAGGGGCCCTGGGCCCGAGGCTCCTGCGCCCCACACCTCTCACATCCTCCCCGCCCCCTACTTGAGTCGGCTTGAGCCTTCAGGGCCTTCTCTGTTCTGTGTGTGTTGCTCTCAGCTGCGTCTGCCGCTTCAGAGTTCTGTCTGTCACCTTCCCCCTCACTCCTCCCCACCTCCCCTTGTCTCAAGCTGTTCTCAGCTCTGTCAGCTCAGCTCCCTGGCTTTGTTTGCTCCATCTTTCCCCTCTCCGTGCAGTTGAGTCTCTCAAGGTCACCCTCCTAGAAGGCCTGGCCCAGAATTGTTCCAACGTGGTGTTTGAATGTGGAATCAACGATACCCTCTCCCACCCGCCCCTCCACACAAAGCTCAGCTGCGTAAGGGGGACCCCACCCAGCTTCACATCCCTTTGATCCCCCCAAGCCTCAACATTTGTACCCCATAATTATCTCTCCCAGCATTACTACTGCGGAGGAAGGAATTAATCATGGGTGGGGCCAGAGGGACAGGTGTGTTTCCACTAGGGGGGCAGTTCAGAAAGACTAGGAAGGAATGCAGGGAACAGAGTTAGGAGGTGGTGGTAGATTCTGGAAAACTGAGGTTTAAGACCTTGAGGAGGAGAGCCTGATCTGAGGAATCAGAGCGGGGCTGTACCGGGAGTAAGACAGAGGAGGGAGGGGGGCAGAGGAGACAGATATCCTTTTTGTTGTTGTTGTTTTTAAATCTCAGGACCTCTTTATACTCTTAAAAATTACTGAAGACCCCAAAGAGCTTTTCTTTGTGTGAGTTAATATTGGTATTTACTATAATATTTACTATATTCAAAATCAAAACAGAGCATTTTAAATAGGTTTATTTAAAAATAAAAATAATAAACCTATCACCTGTTAACAAAATACAGTTTTGTGAAAAGTAACTTCTTTCCCAACAACACAGAAAAGGAGTGTCACTCTACACTTTGGGGAATTAGATAAAAGTCAGGCTGAATAGAAGATGGCCGGGTTATCACATCTGCTTCTGCACTCAGACTGCTGGGATGTGTTGTTTTGGTTGAAGTATGCTGAGAAAAGCCAACCTCATGTAGGTATGTAGTTGGAAAAGGAAGACCATTGAGGACCCTCTGAAAGGGTCTATAGGGCCAGGAGTTCTGGGGCCACAGCTTGAGAACCGCTGCTGAGGATGGAGGAATCCAGGGGCTCTGGGGCCGGCCAGGGGCTTTTTCCCCCGGGGGGGGGGGGGGGGGGGGGGGGCCTCCCTGTCCTCATTGGGGCCCCAGTGCCTGCTGGGGGAGATTCTTTCCTCCCTTTTTATTGCCCTATAAAGCCCAAGGCAAGGGGGATATAAGGCTGGCGGATCAGGGCCCGGGATGGGGGGGGCGGGAGAGAGGTGATACTGACGCAGGCAGACACAATGAACTCCTTACTTGCTGTGGTCCTGCTCGGCACCCTGCTGGGGTCTGCCTTGGGTAAGGAGGCAGCCAAGGCCGGTCCCCCTCTGCTAACTGGCTCCAGGTCAGCCCAGGTCAAGTGCCTCTTCTCTCCTGCCAGGAAACCACATGCGATGCTTCGAGTGCAAAGGAGGCCCCAGCAGCTCCTGCAAAGAAACGGTGGCCACCTGCGGGGAGGGGGAGCGCTGTGGCTTCTTGGAGCGCAAACCCCAGCCGGACCGAGGGCAGAACAAGCTGTCTGGAAACCGTGAGTTCTCATTTGCCCTCTTCCCCCAGCCCTCCCCTGCCTCCAGGCTCAGTCTGGCTCTGGGCAGATGATGCCATGGCAGAGTAGAGCGGTCCGTAGCCCCTTCTGGCTCTGGCACTGAGCCCCACCCCCCCGCCGCAGCCCACTGTCCATGGACTCCCACCTCCTCGTCTTCACTCTCCAGACTCTCAGAGGCCCATTCACTCGTAAGTGGTTGAAAAAGTTCTGTCCCTTGAAGGTAGAGACCAAAATATTAAACCAAACTTGCAGACATTAACTAAGGACCAGGGTGTGTGTTTGTGTGTGATTTTGAAATAATTTTTGATTGACAGAAAAGTAGTAGAATAGTAGAAAAAGTAGTAGAATAGTACAATTCCTGTATATGCTTCACCTCCCTTCCTCTAATGTTAACATCTAATATAACCATAGTACAGGGGCGCCTGGGTGGCTCAGTCCGTTAAGCGTCTGCCTTGGGCTCAGGTCATGATCCCAGGGTCCTGGGGTCGAGCCCCGCATCGGGCTCCCTGCTCAGCGGGAAGCCTGCTTCTCCCTCTCCCTCTGCCCCTGTTTGTGTTTCCTCTCTTGCTGTCTCGCTCTCTCTGTCAAATAAATAAAGTCTTTTTTTTTCCCACCCCCGCCCCCACCCCCACCCCCACCCCCGCCCCCTGGCAGCTCGCCGCAAGTTGAGAGTTTTTGAGGGCAAAATTGGGCTAGGGGTCTTCTGAGACGGTGGACACTGTTGATTGGAGGCCCACGCGAGATCATGCCCACACAGGCGCTCTGGTGCCACTTCGTCTGGTCCCGCAGAGGTCTTTTCCATCTCAAGAGACTTGGAATCTAAAAAATATCTTTATTCTTTATGTTAGACATTTCATTAGGCACATCCAATGATTATGTCTTTAGGATAGTGCTGACCACTTGTCCCGCAGGTCGCACTCCTACCCCTGGAGCCTAGGCTTGTGTGTTCCTCAGTCGGTCCGGCTGTGCCTGCGGGTGACAGGACCCGTAGTGTTCATTTTCCACCTGAACTGACAAGAGGGACGTTGGCTTCAGTCCAGGACCCAAACCAGGACCCCACATTGCATTTAGCGCTCACGTCTTCTTAGTCTCCAATCAGCGACAGTTCTGCGTCTTTGTCTTCCATGATCTTGACACTTTTCAAGAGTCCCCATAACTTATTTTAGAGACACCCCTCAATTTACATTTATCTACTATTTTCTCATAATTAGATGGAGTCATGGATTTTTGGCCAGAACAGCACCGCGAAGGGAGGTCGGTCCTTTTCAGTGCCATTGAATCAGAGGGCTCACAATGTCAATGTTAATTTTGGTCACTTGGTTTCATGGAGGTGTTTTTTGGAGGGGGCAGAGAATCCCTTTGGGCTCCTTGAAGTCACCTCCGCTCTGCCCTAGAAGGCAAGTCCTCAAGGCAGGAGTCCAACACCCCAGTCTTCTTCTCTCTCTCAGCCTCAGTGACCTTGATTCATCACTATCCAGCCTGCGTGGCGGCCCATCATTGCAATCAAGTGGAAACAGAGTTGGTGGGAGACGTGACTTACACAACCCACAGGAACTGCTGCGTCGGAGACCTGTGTAACAGCGCTGTGGCAAGCACCGTGGCCCCGCCACGCATCTTGGCTGCAACAGCCACCGCCCTGGCCTGGCTCTTGCCAGCACTGTGGAGAGGCTAGTAGGCTCAGGATGGGGAAGGAAGGGGAGCAAGGGAGCAAGGGAGCAAAGGAGATCTGAGGTGAGAAGACAAACACCCCTCTGTGAGCCATTAAAATCTCTCCACCACTCTAGAGCTGACTGGAAAATGCCATCTATCTTTCGTTGATGGGAGAATTGCATGAGTATTATGGGGGCATCCATGCTCTAGTTACCAAGCGTCAGCGGACTTAGTTACTCCTTAACCAATGAAACCCCAAAGGACAATGGAGAATCTGCCCTAGGTGACTCCTGGATCCTATTGCTAGGGAGAATCCTCCTTAGCCGTGAAGCCACTGAGGGGAGCGGGCTCTGGGCTGAGTCGGGGGGGGGGGGGGTCACAGGAATCAAAGGACCCGGTTGGGTTTGTTCCCCTTTCTCCCATTTGCAACTTGGTTCCCAATGTGACTCTATAGGATTGAGAAAGGAAATGGAAGCCCCGTGATGGGAGGGTTGCTTGGAGCCCTGCTTAGTAACCTGGCCAAGTGAGGCTGCCCTTGACTCTAACCTGAGGGACTGGGGCCTGCTAAGAGGGTCCTGGGTCCCATCCCATGCAGTTCTCCTACCCTTTTGGGGGAGCCCTCAAGCCAGGCTGCGCCTCCTTCTTGGCAGTACATCAGAGATGTGGTCTAAATTTGGGATAAAGGTTGTTGCTCCAAACACTGGGACCTGTGTGCCAACCCCAGACACAGGAAGGAAGGATGGAGGCCTGAAAAACCCGTTTCTCCGTTTGCCCCAGCCCAGCCTCCCAGGGAAACTCCCTGGAGGATTCTTGGGGAAGGGCAGGAGCTGAGAGTGTTTTTTCCCCAAGAGGGAGCCTCTGACAACAGGTCTTTTGACAGTAAACACACAGTTTATCAGACACAGACATTTATTACTCAAAACGCAAAGACGTGAGCATGGGGATGAGGTATGTATGGGGGCCAGGGTTTGGGGAATCAGCCCCATACAGTGAGGTCATCAGGTCCTTCCTGGGAGCCTTCACAGGGGACAGGACAGAAGCCCAATCTCAGGCCCAGATCCCCATCCCTCCCGAGTCGGACACGGCAGAGTGCAGGACGCGAAGTGCAGGGCTCTTCTGGGGACGAGTGGAGGGTCTGGGATGGTCCAGAGGGGTGTGGGAAGGGACTCGGGAAAAGCCGAGTGGAGGATGTAAGGTGGAAGGTTGGGTGGGGAGACCACTGTCTAATTAAAGAAATGTGAAGAGCCTGGAGAAATGCTTTTCTGAGTGAAGGGAGTTAAGGAGAGACCAGTGTAAGGAGCCGGGGTACAAGGAGACACAGGGCCAAACGCAGCCTAAGGCAGGTGGGAGGAGGGGCAGCCACGGAGTGAGTCTCAGTGCAGCAGCCAGAAGCCAAGGCCAGCCACAGAGGCGAGGAGCACAGGGGCCAGCGCTGGGGTGGGCCGAGGGGCTGGGCTATTGCAGTTGTCCTTGCTGCAGCAGGTGGTGTTATAGGTCAGACCCAGCTTGTGGTTGGTTTGGTTGAAGGCCTCCCGACAAGGCTCTTCCGGTGTGCCACATCGAAGGTTGGAGAAAACCCACATCTTACCTGAGGGTAGGAGTGGGCCGTGGGGTCAGCTCGGAGGGGGGCCTTCATGCCTGTGTCCACCCCCAACCCCATGCACTCGCCCAGGCTTCCTTCCCGACTTTGCCCCGGCCCTCCCCGCCTTATCTCTTCTCAGTAAGTCTGACTGTCCTCCTGCACTTCCGTCCCCCGCCCCCTCACCCCAGCCTTGGTCCTGGGACTTGTGGCTGGGAGGCCTTGGACTTGTTACTGTCTTCAGTCCATGGAAAGTCATAGAATGGTGCCTGGCACATAAGACTCCTTGGCCAAATATCGTCATTGCTGGGACTGTCTGTCCCATCTCAGTCTGAGCCACAGTTGGGCCTCGGCCCCCGCCATACAGTCTCCCCCTGGCCCCCTCTCCTCACTAAAGAGGGGGATATTACCGAGGTACACATTTGTTGTCAGGCACTGTTGTCCTGGTTCCAGGCGGCAGGACTGCCGGTCCACACAGCCCAGCACAGGGACTTTGTAGCAGGAGTGACAGCGAATGTCAGCTGGGAAGACACAAGTCAGGCTGAGGTGATGGGGTGTCTGACTCACCTGGGGACCGGCCGAACTGTGGGGCAGGGTGGAGAAGAGCCAATCAAGTAGGTGTTCTGACCTGTTTGGTTTGGTGGTGACAGAGCAGGTGAGTGAAGCAGAAAAGGGTAAGTGGGTGAGGGTGGAGTTGTTGCTCTGTGAACGCCTCACCCTGAACATCGTCCTGCACCCTACCCCATTCGGGGATGAGTCAAGAGGGGCAGAGCTACCAACAAAAACATGGGGCTAGGGATAGATGGAATGTGAGAATACCGTAGGCAAGGAATGCAGGAGGTGGGGGAAAATATGAAGGAATTCAGAAGACCTCACAGATGGAGACTTGAAATTGGAAGAAACACTACAAATAAAAATCATGGTTGTTGGGGCGCCTGGGTGGCTCAGTCGGTTAAGCGTCTGCCTTCGGCTCAGGTCATGATCCCAGCGTCCCGGGATCGAGCCCCACGGCGGGGTTCCCTGGGATCCTGCTTCTCCCTTCCCCTCTGCAGCTCCCCCTGCTTGTGCTTGATTCGCTTTCTCTCAAATAAATAAATAAATAAATAAATAAATAAATAAATAAAATCTTAAAAATCTTTATTTATTTATAAATAAAATAAAAATCATCATTGAAACACTTGCGTCAATGGCTTGGGACTTGAGACTGGCAACAAAGCCCCCTGTGGGTGGCTCACCACCTGGGACCACCATGAGTGTGGGAAGAGGAACCAGACCTGAGTGGGGTCCTCTCACTCTGGCAGCTCTCGGACAGGAGAGAATAATGTCTGAGAAGCAGATCGTCAGGTGCTGTCTGAGCACCTTGCCAGAATGGAGGGGGTGGATGCAGAGAGTGGCACCCTCCAAGCTCCCACCTCAGCTAATTCTAGGCTTGCGTGAGCAAAGTTTGGTGAAGGAGGGGTTCGGTCCAAGGGTAGAGGAGCCTGGTGACTGCACCTCTGTGATTTGTTTCACCCTGGGGGCGAGCTGCCCTGCATTCCCTCCATAGAAGGCTGGGATATCTCCCTGGTTCCCCAGGAGGTTCTAGGACATTGCTGGGACCCTCCAGAAAGCTTGGTCCCTGCCGGTATCCTCCCCGGGGAAGGGCAGGGGTGAACTAGTAGAGGCTTGAATGACTGAGAACAGAATCTAAAGGAGTAGGTGGGGAGGGTGGGGTGCACAAGAAGCCCCAGGCTGGACGCCTAGGTTTCTGGGAGGACTCCGCTGAGTGCGGGTGGTGAGAGGAGAAACCAGTAAGCTGGGTTTGGTCATGGAATGGGGGACAGGGGACCTGGAGCCCTGGCAGGTTAGAAGAGTGGGTCTTGGAGGTGGGGAGAAGTGTGAAGGAGACAGGGGTCCTTGAGGAATGGAGCAAGGACCCTGTCACAGGGAGGCTGGGTTCTGGAGGCACAGGAGAGCTGCGCCAGCTGGAGCTAGGGGTGCTTGGGATCCCAAGCAGTGGGCAATGGAGGGCAGTGGGTGGGGTAAGGTGTAGAAGCCCCGGGGGCCCCCTGGTGCTCACCTGAGACCCAGCAGAGCAGAGCCGACAGGGTGACCAGCAGAAGGCCTTTCATGATGAGGGTCCAGAGGTTGGTAACAAGTGCAGCAGCTGATAGAGTAGATTTTCAGGGATCCAGCTCTGGGAGTCGAGTGGCCTTTTTGGAATTTATAATCCCAACGGTCCCTCCCTTCCCTGCCTCTGGTGGCCCCTCCTTCCCTATTTACACCCAGATGACCAGGGGTGGGGAGGGACTAAGCAGAACTGGGTGAGGGAGTAGGGATGGGAGAGAGAGGTAGTGGAGAGTAGGTACACTCGTGGCCAACTCCATTTTGGTTCTTGGTTTCAGGCCAAGACACCCCTCCTGGTTCCCAGCTGACAGCCCTGCTGCCGGGTCCTCTGAAAAGACATCGCCAAGGCCCCTGTGATGTTATAGGGCTGTAGCGGCAGTGCCTGCCAGTTCCTGGCAAATGGACATAAGGCGTGTGGCCTACACTCATTGCCCAGTTTGGGTCCCTGGGGGCCACTGGTAGGGGAATGTGAGCAGAAACTGAGGACAGAAGGGGCCAGCTTCATCTGGATTCAGCCTTGTCATGGTCTTCCCAACCCCAGCTCAGCCACAGGATGAAGGATTGTTTTGTTTGTGATGTCACCAAGGGCTTCTGTGATGTCACAACAGCAGAGGCATAGGCTGGGGCTGCCTGCTGAGGTGATGCCTCAGGCCCTTAGAAGGTTCTCGGAACCTGCCCTGGCTAAACTAGGGCTTGGCCTAGCCTGGTTTGCTCTAGTTCAGCGAGGGCCAATGAAGTCCAGGGTATGGGGCATGTGGCCTGCTCCAAAGTGTCTCCCAAATCAAAACCTGCCAGTTTGGGTGGGGCGCCATTGGCCAGGAGGGACAGCCTGGGCACAGAGAGATGAAGTAGAAGGTAGAATAAGAACAGAAGTTGCAATAATACTTAATAACGGTGAGCACCAAGTGCTCCTATGTGTCAGCCATTGTTCTAGGCATTTTAGGTGTATTACTTTTTTTATTTCTCAATACTCTAGAAGGTAGGTGCTTTTATCCCTGTTTTACAGATGAACGAACAGGCCCAGAGAACTTAAACGACTCGCCCACATCACTCAGTTAGTAGAGGGCCAAGGCAGGATTTGAACTCAGCCAGGATGCTGGGGGCCACTGCTACGCTGCAGGAGTTAAAGTATGTGAAAGTGCTTCTGTAACCAGACGGAGCACCACTTTCAACTGAGTATTGTTTGAGGGCTGTGAGGGAGCCAGCGAGGACTCCCAGAGGGATCCCGGCAGCAGGTAGCCCCGCCCTGCTCTTATCGGAGCCCCCAACCCGCGGCCCCCCCCAACTCCCTCCCCCCAGTTTTCCTCCGGTTTCCTCCGCTGATACACTCGCCTCCTATCCCCACCACATCCCAGCCATGGCTCTGGTTCTGCAGCTGCTGCCGTTGCTGCTGTCTAGGGCCCAGGGGGACCCCGGGGGTAAGCCATCTCCCCCTCCAGGAAAGTTGGGATGGGCGCGAGGAAAGACTGAGGGAGGGGGGAGCGATGGGGAGGGGAGGGTTAATGTGTGCGGGATGATCCAGGCTGGCGGGGGGGGGGGGGGGGGCACAGAGGAGAGGGGAGGGAGAGGAGACGGGAGTGGGGTTCGTCTTGCCTGTGGACTTGCCCTAACCCCTGTCCCCTCCAACCCCAGCTTCACTGGACGGCCGCCCTGGAGACCGGGTGAATTTCTCCTGCGTAGGGGTCTCGCATCCCATCCGCTGGGCCTGGGCGCCTAGCTTCCCGGCCTGCAAGGGCTTGTCCAAAGGACGCCGCCCCATCCTGTGGGCCTCATCGAGCGGGACCCCCACTGTGTCTCCAGTCCAGCCCTTTGCTGGTCGCCTACGTGCCCTGGACCCTAGTATCCGGCGGCTGGAGCTGCTCCTGAGCACGGGGGACTCAGGCACCTTTTTCTGCAGGGGCCGCCACGAGAAAGAAAGCCGTACGGTGCTTCACGTGCTAGGGGACGGGGCTGATTGCAGGGCACCGGGGACTACCCACGGTAGGTCCAGGCCTTTGTGCGCGGGACTTGGACACACACCCTCGGGAGGGAGACAGGCCTTAGCTGGGGGGTTCCTGGGCGGGAGAGCTAGTTCTCTGTCCTCGCACCCCTGACCTCAGTATCCACCACCACCCCCGTCCTCCGTTCCCCCAGGGTCCGTGAATCCCCAGTTCCTGATCCCCTTGCTGGGCGCTGGGCTGGTGCTGGGACTCGGGGCGTTGGGCGTGGTCTGGTGGTGGCACAGGTGAGCACAATGGGCGGGGCCTGGCTAAACGGGTCGTGACCAGAGGCGGGAGGGGCAGGACCAGAACTTGGCAGACAGAAGCTAGACCTAGAGCTCCGGCGTGTGGTGTAGGAGAGGAAGTGGGGAGGTCACCACTTGGGCCGAGGCCGCAGGTTGGTAGGCAGAGCCCTGGCCAGGGAGGCGAAGCTAGAGCCCGAGCAGGATCAGAGTGCGGGCGGAACTATCTGTGGGGGTGGAGCCTAAATTGTTTTGCGGGTCTGAGCCTTTGAGTTGCTGGGTTGCTGTTGGCCCCGAGGAAGACGAGAGATAAAATTGGTGGCTCTCAAAAGACTTATACATCCATTACAGACGATCACCCCCGCACCCGCCTCGACCACTCCCCAGATTTGGTGAGATTAACTCCATCCCGTTTTCCTTCTACTGTTCCCACACTTCCCACCTCTCAATTCCTGAGTCTGAGCCCTTGCTGGGAGCAGAGTGTTGGTCACTTTCTCTCAATCCTTCAGCTCTGTTCCCTCCATATAGATCCACTCGTGAAAGTCGAGCCCCAGAGGCCAGTAAAGGAGGAGGAGCCTAAAAATGCCCGTGACCTGGACCAGGAGGCGGTAAGGGCCTGGGGATTGGAAGGGGGTTGGACAGAATCCCCGAGAAAAGTGGACTAAGAAAGACAGAGGCCTGAATTCCCCAGGGAGTCCGACTTCTGAGACCCTCCTGCCTTCCTCCCCACCTTTCAGAGCCTGCTCTACGCCGACCTGGATCATCTGGCCCTCAGAAGGCCCCTCCGGTTGTCCCCAGTGGTCCCGGCTGATGCCTCCACTATCTATGCGGTTGTGGTTTGAAGGGAAGCCCTTATTCTAAACCTCACAAGCTGGAGGTTCCCAGCACTCCACAACTCCCCACCCCTTCTTGGCCCCTTACCTGGACAGGGAATGCACCACGGGATAGAAATGAGCACTAGCCTTAAGAGTCAGGAGCCCCGGGTTCTCTGTGACTGACCTTGCTCCTTCAGTTACCCCAACTTTTCTCGTATAACTTTCATGTCTTCTTCACCACCGGTGCCCTCTCTAGACCTGATCAAGCCCTGCCTTCCTATCCTAAGGGATAAGAGTCCAGCTCTTTGAATCAGGGGCCTACACCTTGTCTTCTCCTTCGCTCCACTCCTCCTGCTCATGATGTCTCCATGAGGTTGCCAGTGAGGTCCTAAAGGCCACACCCAGTAGTTTTTAGCTTGGTCTTTGATTACTTCTTTCTTTTATGCTGGCGTCTTCCTTTTGGACTCTTCCTTGCTCCCTATCCCCATGGTATTCCCCACCATTCTAGACTCGTCCCTTATCTGACTTCCCTCTCTTCTGGGAATCTGTCATCCACAGCCAGTCCTCAGCCCTCACCTCTGAAAACAACACCTAGAGCTCTCTCCAGCTCAGATCTTGAGTAATGGGATTTCCCATCTATCCCTGGGACATCCCTGCCTGGTTCGCTGTAGGCATTCTGCGCCCAGCATATCCAAAACCCAACTCATTGTCACTCACTCAATCCTCCTCTGCATTCTCTCTTGATCAACCAGTTGCCTAAGCTAGAAACTGGGAGTCATGCAGGCCTTCTGCTCGCTCCCACACAATGAACCAAGTCCTGTCTTTCTATTTTAAAGTCACTGTGAAATCCATACCCTTCTTCACGCCCAGGGCTGCCACCTGAATATACTCTCCTGATTTCCTCCCTGGGTGACTCATAGCCCCACCTCATTCTCTTGCCCCTGCCCTCCTCCCTGAAGCCAGAGAGGTCCTCCCCAAATGCGAACCTTCTCACAACCTGTATTCCAGAGTTGCAGGATTTCTTTCCATAACTTTCAGCTCTGGACCCACGGGCCTTGGCTTTGGGTACAAGGTGCTGGCAGCACTCTACCTACCTTCCAGGCTTGTCTCTGTCACTCCACATGCGCACAGCATGCCAACCTGGCAGAGGTTCTCCCCCCAGTTCTCTCCCAAATATGGCTTCGCGCCACACAAGTCCTTCTTCCTGGACCTTTTTTCCTCCTCCCCACTACCTTCCTGGCGAATTCTTCTTTATCCCCAAGACTCAGTTGAAATGTTGCCGTTTCTGGGAAGCCATTCCTGACCCTCTCTGCCTACCCCTGCATACATTTTTGATGCTGTAGGCAGTCTCCTTATTTCTCTCTTAGCAACAACACCCTGTGAATTGTTCCATCACAACCTGTATTTCAATTTCAATGTACTGTGAGTTCCCTGCTATCAGAAGACTGACCCTTTCTATATTACTGCCAAGCCTCAGTAAATGAGTGAATGAAAATGAACGCCCCTGAAAGCGTCACTTCTTCCTCTCTATCAACTAGGGGTGGGTTGGTAATCTACCAATCTCTGAATCATCTGACATTTGGATAAATTGAGTGATCCACCTACTCTTTCTTCTCTACCTCGTATATGCTCCCCACAGTAGAAATTCTATCCTGTCCATCTTGTGCCCAAACACCTATGATAGGGCTGGGCAGTGAGTCAGTATCTAATGAGGGTTTGATGAATGAAAGACTAACCTCAACCTCAGATTTCAGCCCTGCCCCTATCCCAGTAAGACACCAGCCACAGCCCAGTCTAAAAGGTCAGTTCTGTTTTATTAGTTCTGAGGAGGAGGACTCACCCAGTGGACTCTATCCTTTTTCCCACACTAAGCCCCCCCCCAATCTTGGGGCCCTCTCCCCACTACTACCTACTCACCGTCCTCTATCTACGCCTCCTTCCCCTTCTACTCCTTATGCTGCCCTACCCCTGGCCAGCCAGAACCCTAAGGCCAGGCCCTCAGCTGTGGGGGCGCGTGCTGAGCACCAGGCAGAGGGAGCTGAGCCCGGCGCCTGCCTTCTCCAGTTCTGAGCAGGACACAGGTACCAGGGTGACATCAGAGAGCTTCTGCAGTGCCTGCAGGGAGGACACGAAGTGGGGAGAGGGGAGTAAGACCCCGAGGCCACAGCCAGGCCCTTCCTGGAGGCAGCTCAGAGTGGCACCACCCACGCTCCTAGAGAAGGTACCCCTTCTTCGTCCCACTAGGAAGGCCTGAGACTCCTTCCTCTGGTTGTTGTTGGTGGTGGAGTTGCTGCCTTCCCTCACCTCCTGGCTATTGGGCAGGTCCCCGCCTCCACGGTGCAGGAGAAAAGGGAGCACACCAGGCAGCCCAGGTCGCAAAAAGAGACAGTCAGCAGCTGCATCATCTGGGAGGGTCAGGGACGCGTAGGGGTGGTCTGTCAACACTGCCATCGCCTGAGGGAGACGAAAGAGGAAGTGGTCAAGTCTCAGAGCCTCTCCACAACCGAGTGTGATGGCCCTACTACCGTTAAGGGCTGGGGACACAGTTACATTTGTTGTATAATAATGATAGCAAGCACTTGTTCTTAGTATGTGTCAGGCACTGATCTAAGCATTTTAGTGACCTTTGTTAAGTTCCACCTCGGACACACATGCAGTTCTTACTACCTGCAACTCTCTTCTTCCCTTCTCTAGCCCCCACCAGTCAATGTCATCCATCCTTCCTCATAGCTTAGACCCCACCTTTGGGGAGGTTTCCAGAAACTCGGGAAGACGATGTTAATCGACTGTGTTCCCTGTCCCTGTCCTGCTATGGTAACTTCTTGCTTTCTGACGTGTTTTCATACTAGATGGACGGCTCCATGAGGGCAGGGGTTGGAATTAAGTCTCTGAATCTCCCAGCTTTCCGCCTCCCGGGCCAGGAGCCACGCCCACTCTTGCTGGCCGCGCCCCAACCTGCCCCACCCCACCCCGCCCCTCCTCACCCTGACAGCCTTTTGGGCAGCGTCGCTGCTACCCGCCACGACAGTGCGGGGTCCCCCCATGCCGCAGAGGCCGCGCAGGTGCGAGGGGCCCGAGACAGGCACTGTGGAGACCGCGAAGTCCTAGGGGCAACAAGGGAAATTATTCAGGGACGCGGGAGGGGTGAGGGGATTCCCTCAAACACAGGTGGCTCTGGGCTCCTCCCTACTCCGCGCCGCCTCCCTGCGCCCCTCCTACCCCATCCGCTCCGCGCTTCCCCAGCACAAAGCTGGTCCCGCTCCTCACCCGGAACGTGTCCGCCACGATCTCAGCTCCTCGGTGATTGGTCCACTTGGAGAGGCCTACGAAAAACTCCCGGCCTGAGCCCAGGGAGGCCGCGGAGGTTTGAGAGGCAGAGTGAGTTGGAAACAAGGCCCGACATGGCCTAGTCTCCCCAACTCTGCTTCCCAATGCCAAGCCCCAGGGATGCAGGCACCTCAGCCTCACCGGTAAAGAGAACATCAGTGCCATCCAGCGTCGCGTTCTCATCCCCCATCTCCACGATCCGGAGCCCAAGGTCCTGAAGGGCTCTGCGGACTCCATCGACCTTAGGGCAGGAAAGAGGGCGCGGGGCAGAGACGTTCCCATCCGCAATTCTTAAAGTCCCGCACATCCAACTCCTCCGTTCCCCTTACCCCCCAACCCGCGCCCTGGCGCTCACCTCCGGCCTGCGGGAGGGGCTCCAGGGACGCGTAATTAGGGCCGTGTCCCCTTGGATCACGGCGGTGTCACCGAGCAGCGGTCCCAGCGGCAGCGACTCTTCAGGAGGCAGTTCTAGCAGCTGCAGCCCCAATCGCTGCCTCAGTTTACCCCCCAGTACCCCGTGCTCCCTCTGAGCTTTAGCCAGGTCCAGAGCCGGGAGGCCAGCCCCCGCACCCTCCCCCGAAGCCAGGCTCTCCGGGACCCCCCGGATCAGGGCGTGGGAGCAGCGGCCCAGCCCCTCCCCTGGTGTCCCCATCCCATCCACACAGTCTCCCCCTCTGGCCGCGCTGATTTCTTAGTTTTCTCTTTTTCACCTGTCTGGGAGAAGAGACAGAAAGGCGGGGGGGGAGAGGCAGAGAAAGAGACATGCACAGAAGGGCGTAGGGGGGTGGTAAGGAGCGCCCGGGTCTTCCTTCTGCCATCTCCGGGCGCCCCTCCCACTTCGCCCCACCCCCTCCAGACCTTTCTCTCCTGCCCACCCCATCCCACCCCGCACCCTTCTGGGTCGGCTTCTTTGGAGGGAGTCCGAGGAACAAGACCGGGACCCCTAATCTTCAAAACACCTGTTGCCCCTGTTCGGGGGCTTCGCGAGGTCCCTGCTAGGCGCCCCTCTTGGCAGCCGCTAGGATGCGCTCACTCCCCAAAAATGCAACCGCCCCGCCCCCTTAACCCTCAGCTGCTCGCTGCCATAGGGACCCGAAGTGCGGCGAGGGACCCAAAGGGGTTATGGGACAGAAGGAGACAGCTGGGGAGAGGGTCAGGGCCTAGGAAGATGGAAGTCCTGAACGCCCAAACGAGAAAGGGGAAGAGGGGCAACGAGGGAGGAATTAGGACCTAAGGAGTTAAATATCCTCTCTCCACCCGGGCCGGTCGTGCTGCCCCTAGCGCGACCCAGTATAAACCAGACCGAGTCCCGGAGGACTGGGAGAGGTCTAAAACGAAATCCAAGGGGCGGGGAAACCGGGGGCGTGGTCCCAGGGAGCGGGCGCCACTCCCGGCTCCAGGACCCTGTTTCCCGGTTCATCTTCCCCAAAGTCTACCTCACTCAGCTCCGCACCCAAATTTCCGCCTCCTGCACTCTGTCCGTTGCAGGCACCGGCCCGGCACCCTCAAGCTCCGGCCCGCACACGGTACAGGGGACACCTCCAACCCCTAGACTTACCTCCAGCGGCCACCCCGACTCCTGCGCTCTGTGATCTCGGCTGGGGCCCCACCCCCCCGAGGACAGAGTTGGTTGGAGAAGGGAGTCCTAGTCTTCAAGCCTCGGGGACTGGAGCTCTTGGCTTTTGAGGGGTCCCTGGGTAGGCGAGCTCAAGAACTACGGTGGGGCGGGGTCGCGATGGTCTGGCGGCTTCGGGGCATTGTCTAAGCGGGACGGGGCGGGGCTCCTCGAGACCACGCCCATTCCGCCCTGCTACGCCGCGCCCACTCCACCGGGACTGCGCTCCCCTCCTCAGAACTCGGCCCCGCCCCATGAGTGCTGCCCAGGCCCACCCAGATCTGGCTGGCCCCGGCGGCTGGGCTGCAAACGCGACATGGACCACAAGACAGCGTTATGGTGGAACGGCACGAAAAATGGAAGCCTGACCACAAATAATACCCCTCTTCTAAATTCCTGGCTTCTGCCCTGAGCTCAAGGTCACTGACCCACCTCTCATTCCGTGTTACCCACACTCAAGCCCTCTTTGTGTAAAACGACACTGTATTTTCATTCTGTATTTTATTACTGAAATACATTGTCCTACCCGCACCACCCCACAATAAAAATCTTACCTAGATTCCCCATTTTTTCCCCTCAGCCCCCCAGCCAGCCCTGCACAAGTGCTCCAGGATTCTCTGCCCACTGGCCATTTTGGAGTGTGTCCCTTGGATAACCACGTGGAAACCAGTTGGTGCCTTTGTGGAGAAAATGGAGAGGGGAGACGGAGTCTCAGGAGGCACTTATTTGAGGGCCTTGGCCACTTGCTCGTAAGCCAGCTCGATCTCCTCATCATCTGGACAGGTGGAGGCAAACTCTTCCCGAGCATAGGCATTGCGCAAGTACCGATGCACTCCGCGGAACCCCTCGGGGATGGAGAATCCCCTGTACTTCTTACAGACCACCTGGGGGCGGGGAGAGGAGGGGGACCAACATGTTAGCCTCTGGGGAGCCGCGCTGGGCGCCAGGCTCTTGTCTTTCTCTTCTCCCAAAACTCACAGGATGAAATCTAGCCTTCCTGTGCAGGCATTCAAGAACCCCCCACTCTCTGGCTTCTCTTCCTGTGATTCTTATCTCCCATATGAATCATCTTCTCCAATTGACTTTCTTAACTCCTCACAATCTTCTCCTGTCTTCGCCCTTCCTCTCCACTCACTGAAATCCCGGCCATTTATAACCAGCTCCTTTTCAGACCACCCCCTGCCGTGGTGCCATTTCTCTCTTCTTGATTTTACTGAGATGTAATTCACAAATCAGAAAATTCTCCACTGTGACTTTTGTCCCTATTTTTCATTTGGCTTTTAATCATGTTTTGTTACTTAACTTTCTTGTGACTGTTCTATGTTCCTAGCTAGATTTCAATTCCCTCGAGGGCAAGGACCAATCCTCATCCATCTTTGTGTCTTTCAGTGCCTAGTACACAGATGTTCAATACAGAGGTCTGTGGCAGACTGACATTAGGCCCATGTTTCACAAACTAAACCGTACCTTTGAGGCTAAGACAAAAACATGGGAACCAGCAGTTTTCATCTTTCATCACAAGACAAAGTGGAGACTGATGCTATAAAACGAATTAAAGCTCTGATTTTAGGAAAAGCCTGCTTTGTCTGATGTGGGGACTTGGCAGTGATAGAGACAGGAAGAACACTCTTGACAGCAACACTGGGCTATGTTACTCCCAGCCAGTCTGTTTGCACCCACAGCCTGTATCACGGAATGTAATTCTCTCAAAGCACTGGCCTTGCAGCAATGACTGGGAGGAAGGAATGGGGCATGTCTGCTATTGGTAGCCATCCATAGAAACCATCCTAAGAAAGAAACCACCTTTGGAGTGGTTGTCATGGGAAACCTGTGTGGGAGCTTCTTAAAGAGCCATCTCAGTGGCCACCCTCTGCTCCTACAGTGACCACCCACCTGTACTATGTGGAGCTTTGGCAACAGGTTGCAGTCAGCCAGAGTGAGCTCATTGCCATCCAGAAACTTCCTCTGAGAGATGCCCTCGTCCTCAGCACTGGTCTCATCCACTTCTTCTGGGAGGGGGGATGTCAAATAATTGTCTAAAACTTTCAGGGCTTTCAGGAGCCCCTTCTCCAGATCTGTGCAAGAAAGGGGAACTGGTAAGAACATCAGGAGAGTGACATAGTCCAGGAGGGCCTGGGGAGTGGGGGGTGAATGAATACTAATGGTGAGGCCAGTCCAAAATGATATCTGACATGAATGTAGTTCATTTTCCATGTGTTATTCTAAGCACTTTACATACAAAAACTCATTTAATTCTCACATCAACCCATGAAATAGGCATGGTTATCTTCATCTCATAGATCTGGAAATGGGATTTACAGAGAGATTAAATGGACTGCCCAAAGTCACAGGGCTAGTAGGGTTTGTACTCAGGTTGTCTGGATCTAGAGTTGTCGTTGTTGTTAAGATTTTATTTATTTGACAGAGAACACAAGCAGGGGGAGTGGGAGAGGGAGAAGCAGACTCCCTGCTGAGCAGGGAGCCGGATCGGATGCCAGGCTCAATCCCAGAACCCTGGGATCATGACCTGAGCCGAAGGCAGACACTTAACCGAACTGAGCCACCCAGGTGCCCCTAGAGTCACTGTTCTTAAGCACAACCCTCTTCTGCCAGAACACAGGTCAGCAGCCAACCCAACTAACATCCCCAGTGGTGCAGGAGAGGCTAGGTGATAAACAAGAGAAGCTTAAGGTCACAGCCAATGAAAATGCAAGGAAATATGGGGTTTAAACAAAAAATAAGGGGGCTGGGGTGGGAGGCAGTGAGGGTTTGCCAACATCTGCTCCGTCTCCCCAATATCAGAATTTCCAGGTGCCCCTAACGCCTCCCAATCCCTGGATCTTCTCCATTCCTCCTAGGACCCCGGCCTCCAGCCCTTGAGACTCACTATCATTGAGTGCTGGGTTTGAATTCTTGATGTAAGCAGAAAATTTGGCAAATATGTCCAGCCCCGCCGTGTTGGATTCAGGGTTCAGAGCTGCCAGCTTGGGGTACCTGAAAGCCAGTAGGAGAAACAGGAGAAGATATCTTCTGGGGAGGAGCCTCAGCTCCTCTGCTCCCGCCCACCACCATTTCGGTTTTCCATTTCTTCCACCTCTCTCTTTCCTAGAGTCTCCCTGCTTCCCACCCCTTCCTTTCCAAGTGCCCTCATACCTGGGAGGGCACAGCACTGCCTCCAGAAACTCCTCAATCTTGTTGGTGTCTGTGTGCACTTCGGTGCCATACAGCAGGAATGGGAGCTGCCCCCCTGGGCACAGCTTCTGCACTGTCTCAGTCCGCCTGGGGGAGAGGCCAAGCATCAGGACAGGAAAAGGGGGTCAGGGAGAATCAGAAAGGGGAGATGGAGGGATGTGGGAGGAAAAAGGAGCTCTGGGTGGAGGGAGGGGGGAAAGGTGCAGGATGAAGGGTTAGGATGGGTGAGCGTGTTATGTGCGTATGTGTGTGCACAGGGGTGTTTAGAGAAACAGAAATTGGCCCACCTCTTGGTGTCAACAGTGGTGACGTTGAAGGTGACTCCCTTGAGCCAGAGTACCATGAACAGTCTCTGGGAGAAGGGGCAGTTCCCAATCTTGGCCCCATCACTGCCAGCCTGAAAAGTAACCCCCCACCCCAAGGTTAGGCCTGGTACACCCCACCTACCCCAGGCCATTCTCTGCACCTCCTACTCCCAGATCACGCTGCTTTCTGCCTAGTCATGACATGCAGTCTCACTACTAAAAGCTCTCCCCAGATGTGGGCTCTCCACTCTGGAGGTGGAGCAAACCTAGGGCAGATCAGTGGGAACGTTTTCTGCAAAGGTCAGCTTCCGGTTCCCCAGAGACAGGTGGGAGGTAGGCAGAGGAATTGGGTTTGGGAGAACGCAGGAGGACCTGGACCCTAGAGAGGGAAGACCAACAGTAATGCAGTTTTACCTTGTATTCTAAGCACTTCACATACGAAAACTTATTTAACTCTCACATCCCTAGAGAGGGACTTTGGTGAGGTCAGGGGTGTAGGCTAGAGGCCTAGATTTCTGAATGAAGTAAGAGCCTGCGAAGGGGCATAGTACTGCAGGGTTTGGAAGACAGAGTTCTGGTCCTCTATACCTCTACCCTGTTTCTGGCAACTGGGTGGGGAGTCAAGGGGCCCCGAGCCTCACCCTAAAAGATGTAGAGGGCTTTGCAGAGGGGGGCTGCCCTCTAATTGGCAAGTGGTGACCTCATCCCCCAAGGGACCTCCCCCTAGGCTGAGGGTGATTCATCTCTCAGGCTGTCTCCGGGCCTCAGCGGCTTCCTTCCTGGCAAGGAGTGGGGGCAGGGACCTGAGAGGCTGAAGCCTGGGCAGTGGAGGGCCACCTTCCTCTTCCCCACACACTACTTGTGGGGTCTCCCAGCACATGGCCCCCGGCTCCAGATAACTCCTCACACTGGACCCAAGGCCAGAATCTGTAGCGCAGCCTCACCCAGGGATAAAAATAGCCCTTGAGGCAAATGTGAGTGAGGTGGGGACCACACCTAAGGGGGGCGGACCCAGGCATGGCTGGGCACAGGGAGAGGGAATGGCTTCCCCAGAAGCCCCAAGCAGCAAGGAGGGAGAAAGCGGCAGGAACGCACAAAGAAGGACGAACAAAGGGGGAGAGTGGAGAGAAAGGAGGCAGGAAAGTGAAGGGTGGGGAGAATGTGCAAACAAGGAGGCACAGAGGGAGAGGGAGGTGCAGAGATGAGGTCCAGGATTGGGTAAGAATGCCCCTGCAGTGGGGAGGGGAGCAGAGCAGAAAGAGTGAAGTCCGCTAGTCCCCTGTCGAGCTTTCATCTCCGAAGGCCAAAGGACCGCCGCTCCTCATCCACACCCACAGAGAGAGGACTGAGTTGGGGGACTCTCTTTCTCCTGTTTCTAAAACCCCCAAACCCTAAACACCCTAACCCAGGTCTCTTGCTCCTTCTGATCCCTCTCCCCACCTATCCTTCCGGTAACCCCAGCTAAACTCCCATCTGGCCACCTTCTTTTCTCCCCTTCTCCAAGTCCCAGGGGAGCCTTCCGGGCCCACCCCCTCTCCGGCCGGGCTGCTAGAACTCCACTCCCACTCTCCCATCTCCTTCCACCCCACCAGTCCTTCGCGTGGATCTCCCCGCAGCCTCCCTCACCACACCCTCTTCCTCGAAACCTGCCGTGCCACACACGCGCGCGCACTTCTCCAAGTCTCCCCCAAGACACCCCTCACTTTGGTCTTCTCGTAGGACCACCTGTCCTGATGTTAACCTCTGACCCTCCCAAACGCTGTTGGGTCCCACTGCCCCCTTCTCTCCCAGTCTTTCCATCAGCTTGTCCCTCCCACCCCCACCCCCATCCCCACCCCCACCCCCACCCCCGTCAATATTCTCAACTCCTGGGACCTTCTCTCTACCTTCCGGCC